TCAAACTTCACAAAAAAATCGATAAAATCGATAAAAGTAATGGACGATCCTGAAAACTAATATTGTATTCGAAATCCCCATGCTCACTTCCCCCCCTGTGCCAACTCCTAGCCCTGTAGGTGAACTCTGCAAAAAAATCGATAAAAATCGGTAAAATCGACATCGATCGATAACGAAAAGTGGACTGTGACACCCGCCGGGGCCCGAAGTGTATGTGTGCCAAGTTTGGTCCGGATACGGCGGAGCCGGGTAAGCCAGCTAGTTTCTGATATTACCAAAAGAATTTATTCTTAGATGTTTTGGTCCCTCACAGGTAGTCTCACTGACATAATTTATTCGGATAGTATTCGAAAATCGAATGATATTCGAAAATCGATCATCATTCGGGAACCGAATAATATTCGAAATTCGAATATCGAATGATATTCGATATTCGAATATTATTCGATTCGAAAACTTCCATTTTCGAGTAATATTCGATAGTCGAATATTCGAAATTTTCGAATTTCGAATAAAATTCGTTAGTCGAATATTCGAAGTTTTCAATTTTCGAATATTATTCGATAGTCGAATGTACGAAAATTTCGATTTTCGCATATCATTCGATATTCGAATATTCGAGAAAAATTTCGAATTTCCCAAAGTATAGCATGCACTACGTCCTCGTCATCACAGAATATAGTTCTGGCTGGTGGACCGCCCAAGTACACCGTAGTTCCACCCACCCTCCAATTCAAGCGCTGAGTCCTGAAATGCGCTTCAAAATTCCATCAATGACGCCCACGCAGTGGAAGTGGGCGGGGCTGCTAAAGCTTTGAAGCTTTTCATGACTTAGCGTATGAGCTGGAAGGTAGGGTGGGGTCAATGTGCTTAGGCGGTCTACTACCTAACAATAACAAGATCTGATAGGGGTCCATTTTGCCGAGGCACTGTCGTTGAAGGCAGCGTCCAGGCAAATCTGGACATAAGGGAATTTCACATTGACAGTAATTTTGGGACCCTAACTAAGACACTGCTCAACCGGCAGCTCAGATGGTCTTCTAACGGCTGAAATATTCGCCTCTAAAGTGGACCCCAGGATCGTATTTCGCATGGATTCATACGCGACACATCAGATTCACGTGGGTCCTCCCGCGAAATCATGCAAACACAATGCGAGTCGTCCTACGATACCCTTTGCTTCAGCCAGATCGGCGGTTGGAAGGCGGGTTTCCGTGACCTAATTAATTACGGTTCGGACCGCGAAATCGCGCGCGGCGAGACAGAGTGCGCTTTCAGCCGTTAGAAAAGGGCCTTATTTTGTAGAATTTGTGCTACATCTGTAATCAGCATGTCAGGTAAGCTCCATACCCTAAGTTCTGGGCGAATTTAAAGTATTTGAATTTTGAAAAGGACTTCTGCGTTTTTTTGGGAGACAGGAACAAGAACTCAATCTCTAATACTCAGATAATCGCCGGGGGCAAGCGGCCATGCGAATTTTGAGCAAGCGGGCACCGGAAAAATAGTTCGCTGATTTTTTGTGGTCCGCTTGCAGAAATTTGGAATAATTTTGGCCAATTTTTAGACGAACGCTCGATGATCTATCGCGGTTTTTCTATACATAAGTTGCGGCACAGTGGCCGCATTCTCGCGGATTTTCCGCGAGAACATGCAAAATTATTGAGAGCCGCACGGTCCTTTTTGAAGGACCGCACAGCCCTCAGGTACTTTCCGCTGAAAGAAAGTACCCCAAACTTGGGTAATAAAACCATCGAAGACACCTTTGCCAGGTAGAGTCTTACCTTAGCTCGGCGTACGCACGAAAGTGCATGAAAGGAGTCCGAGCGCTTGCTGAAAGTTTAGTCAGCGCTCGCTGAAAGAAATTATTTGACGAGCGCTTGCAGAAAATTCTGTATTGCTGCCCGCTGGCAGAATAGGGAAGTACCGCTCGCTGAAGGTTTGGCCGCGCTCCAAAATTTTGCTGACCGCTTGCAGAAAAGCGCGAGTTTGCGGACCGCCTGCCCCCGGCGATTATCTGAGTATGTATCTATGTTGCACACGGTACACATCATAATTGAACTAGAGTTTTTCTCTTTGAAAATGAAGCAAAGGAAAGTTGCGACAACGTACGCGTTGTTCGCGTTGTCGCACTTTGTTGCAACTGTTGTTCGATTTGTTCTTCTGATATCTAAAAAAAACATCGACGGCGGGGCTCCACAGAGTCATCTGAAAAGTAGGAGCCTAGACCTTTTACTCGATAACCTTGGAGTGAAAGAAAACCTTCCGTGAAGGTCAAAAAGATCCTTCAAAGCATCGTGCTTTAAAGAAGTGCGAGAGGTTGGATTTGCTGATGCTAATCAGCTTTCTTATAAAAGCAAGACAATTCAAAACCTTCACCGTGTGCAGCACAGGTCCAAAACGTTTAAGGCTAAAAGATGACCAGAGAGAATTCCGAGGAGTCCCTCCTAGGCCATGAAGCCCCTCCTTCCAGCCGCCGATCTGGTTGAAGCAAAAGGTACGATCATGGGGTCCAGTTTGGAGGCGTATATCTCAGCCATAGCGAGTCATTTGCGCTGCTGCTTGGGCCATGCCTTAGGGCCCCAAAATTACTCCACGTAAAATCTCCATAGGTCCAGAATTGCCTGCACGCTGCCTCAAACCGAGTGTACCCTTTTGCAGTGTTATTGCATGTCGTTCCGGGACCAGCAGTCCGCGGAGGCGTCCCAAACTGGCGGCTTTCGTTCCGCTACCCACTGCACTTGATCTTCTGCCATCGTATTGTAAAAATACGGTCGACTCCCAGGAATAGAGATGGTAGACTTACGCTCATATTAGATGTATATCTAAAAGGTGGGTGCGTTTACATTTCAGTTGAAGCTAGTTCTGGTGAGTAGTTCAGTAACTGAAACATTCACTGCGCGTCTACGGCAAATGATTAGGTTTGGTTTTGCTCCGCTCACTGTATATGGCAATTCCGTGCGCAGGTAGTACTGGTATCAGAAGAATCACTTCTCAAAAACCTTATCTCATTTATGAATTGCCCTCTGTTTGGCACACCCATAAGGCCTGAGAAGGAATACGGGTGTATGTCAAGAGGCGCATTTTTTATTGCCAGCCGGATAATCTGTAGCATATAATTTGTGTACAACGATTTAGATGAATATGAGATTTTTGAAGGCAGTGGTTCGGCTTCTTATCGCCCAAGTATGAAAACGGTGCAATTCCGGTTGCACAGCATGCCTTCCCTGCCGAGAAAATTGCTCTCAAACTTACACGCGCAGGCCAGTCTTACACGCGTCCGGACAAGTGCAGTTTCCTTCTCACCATTGGAGGCTGCCCGCCGCAATGCTATAACCATTGGGTCCTGCAACGATTCGTCGCATCAGCCTTGCTCCACTCGTCCAATTCCGGATAACCCCAGGTAAGCGAAAATTTGGCTATGTTGAGATTTGCCGAGCCACTGCCTTTGAGGGGATGTACTAGATAGCCCCATTGGTTTCATTACCACAGATAAACTAAATACATAAATGCTGGGAGTCAAAAACCCTTGAAAATGCAACTAATATCAGACGTAAACATTCAGCTCATTTTTTCGTCGAACGTCATATTCAACAAGGCATCTTCGGACACAAGCCAAAAGCACTTTCTAGGTGTTTTGTATGCCTGCATAACACAGAAGTGGCCTATCTTACATAGAAATTGCGCTGTTGACCGTCTCTCAAGGAGAGTGCTGTAACTTACCCCTCAACCCTGTAAACAGCAGTTCTGCGAGATGCGAGCTTTTGGGTCAAGTGGACGTTTCCACGTAAAAAAACTCATCTTCCCGTTTACTAAAAGAAATCTAAATTTGTGGCTTCAGATGTGTAGTATATGAGACTTTACATACCAGCCTTATTTATGAATGTTTCTCACAGTGTATGCTGTAGTTACAATGAATTTGCTCATGCGGATTTGTATCACTTTGTATGAGGGCAGAGCAATAGCTGAATTACGGAAAAAGGAACGCCGCGCCCCACAACCATATTGCTGCGCGACTCTCATATACCGGCTGGCAATCGCGCCCGTTCCGGCTGGCGGTCGTACCCTTCCCTTCTGAGTGAGATTGCCATCACTCGCACCGACCGCTAACTATGCGACCGCCGGCCGGTGAGAGTGTCTGAGCTCCAGATTCGAAATGTACTGCGATTACACGAATCCTCCCAAATGAGGCGAGTGTGATGTGTCTGATGAATCATTTGGAGACCCACTGCTCACCCTTGAGTTTGAAATGTAGACTGATTTGCATTTATAGCTGATTCGTCGACCGCAGGACTGGACATCGCTGCGGAACACACACCGCGAGTAAAATGCTCCAGTACAAATTCGCCATTGTACAAGTCGTGCTTTCGCAACAATCCAGCCGCGCCGCGCATGGACCGCAAGGTTTGAGCAGTCCGTGCGGTCAACGAATCGACGATATTTGCATTTTGTAGACAGCAAAGCTTATCAAGGTATAAAGACTACGAAGTTAAATGTTTGATTTTGACTTACGAGACCGACACTTCTGCGCGGAAAGCGCGCGAAGCATTCTGGATCTCGCAGAGAAATCCCACTATGAACAACCGAAAGGAGTGTCTAACGATTACGAATGACTTGATGCCGTTTATAACGTTATGTGGGCTATAATGTAGTGCTACTATGCGTAATATCAAGCTGCTTAGTGTAGCTCATTGGCACTAATGACACGTCAAAACCGGTTGCACAGTACCACCAGTGCACCATCGGTGAAGCGGCGCTGAGGTTGGTTCGTCTTCCTCTTTATGCGAATTTCTTGTGAAATCGGAGGGGGGAACGCAACTAGCCAGAGGAGAATAAGGCGTTTGGTGGAATAAGCATAAGATCTAAATCTCGCACCACTCTAGGCCTCTGAAGACGACGATAAGTCGAAACGTAAGGCCGCATCAATAAAGGGCTTCACCAAACCTCGTATTGGCATAAAAAAATCAACATAATCATACGACATGCCGAGGTTTCAAGAAAAGAGGACAACCAAACTGCTTATCATTCTATTAACATGTCACGCAACACTAGCATAAAATAAAGTGTAGGCTTCTTGCAGAAATTCTTATAGAAGTCTTGATAGAGCATTCGTTATGAAATGCATTTCAGCAGATTAGAGAGAAAATTCTTGTAGAAGTTTTGATAGAGCATTCGTTATGAAATGCATTTCAGCAGATGAGAGAGGCCAGCTGCATACGAATAAATTTAATCCGTAAGGAATCACGAATGAGTCACTTGACCACCAACTGCGAATTTCTTCTCAATCCTTCTAGACGATTTTGGTAATGACTCTTGGAATACAGCTGCTATGTTTGAATCGGCGAGTGTAGTGGCAACGGAGAAATCTGAACCAGATGAGGAGTTTAGGACAAACAGTCGAATCATTTCACATGATCGATCATGTGTGTCGTTGCACACACAGTCCACCTTTGGCGTTCCCATCCTGGATTCGTGGGAGAAACAGTCCTTCAGGTAAATGTTTTCAAGGTGTTCTTAGCATTTTCTTCCCTTTTTTAGTTACTAATCACCTCAAATTGATGTAATCGAGAACAATCGGTCTCTTGCGCTTTTGCGATTGCAGATCCAGATGGGGACGCCAAAGGTGGACTGTGTGTGCAATGACACACATGATTATATGAAATGATTCGACTGTAAATAAATCATGGACATTTTAGAACGAGTCACGATGGAAATCACAAGGTTGTGGACTTTGAGCGATGGATTTGTGGATCTGTATAGTACACTGGAACAAAAACAAGACGCATCTTTTCTTTTTCAAAGCGAGCAGCTCGTCCGCAGCGCTGTGCGTGCGGAACGGTCCTTCCCCCACACATTTCTCTTAGGTAAAGCGCAGCACTTTAGGGATTCTCCGGTCACAGATCCTTTGGCATACTCGAGCTGGTCGAGATGACAAAAAAATTTGTGCGACATGTACTCAGACAATTCACCGGAACTTCCGCAGGCAATCAGAATTTGCGGCGATTCTGCAGCACTTTCTTAACTATTGAGAAAGTGCACGCTCCAAGGGGCTTCCGCAGAAAATGACGTCAGAGCGATTGGAAACCGGAACTTCCGCAGCACTTCCCATGAAGCGCTGTGGAGATGCTGTAACATCACAGTGTTTCCGCAGCACCACGACCTGCCAGCATTTCTGCAGGATTTTGAGGGCATATGCAGTGATTGCGAAATAGCAAATGACGGCGACAATCGACGGCAAATGAATCGCGACAATCGACGGCGCATAGGTCATCGCGCTTCTTCCATACTGTTTCGCTTCTGTTTCTCTTCTCTTTCTGTACTGTGGTCTGTGGTCTAGAAAAATGAAGGAAAGTTACAATCAGGGTCAAGCGTGGGGTGTGGCACGCCACATCTGGGGGGTCGTATTGACCGGTGTCAGGGAGAGGAGAGGATCGTTATCGAGGTGATAATGTTAGCGACATGATATCCGTCAACAATGTCAGATAGGCCATTATCTTATATATTAGGTTATTCCGAAAGTTCTGTCCTACCATTTTTAAAAAATCATAACTTCTTCCTAATACAATGTTTTTGCACGAATAAAAACATATTGGAAAGAGCAATTTATGCACTTTCTAAAACTGCCTTGGCTGCTATCTACTAAGCTCGCGACGCAGAGATAAAATTGGGAAAAGGAAATCACTTCAAGTTCGGAATTTTTAAGCAATCCCATTAAAAAATCCAAAACACCCAGTATCCTAGGTTTTCTGATCCCCTCTTTTTATGTGAGCAAAATTCGCGCTGATCGAGCTGTTCCTTTGGAAGATATGATATTTTGAAAAAAAATGTCAAAAAACCAATTTTCTTAAAGAACCGATTTTTTGGCATTTTTTCTCGAAAATCATAACTTTTCTAAGAAGTGCTCGATTAACGCGAACTTTGCTCACATAAAAAGAAGGGACCAGAAAACCTAGGATACTGGTTGTTTTGGATTTTATGGCACACTTTTGGATTTTTTAATGGGCTTGCTTAAAAATTCCGAACTTAAACTGATTTCCTTTTCCCAATTTTATCTCTGCGTCGCGAGCTTAGTAGATAGCAGCCAAGGCACTTTTAGAAAGTGCATAAATTGCTCTTTCCAATAGGTTTTTATTCGTGCAAAAACACTGTATTAGGAAGAAGTTATGATTTTTTAAAAATGGTGGGACAGAACTTTCGGACCAACCTAATATAAAGCTGAATGTTTGTTTGTATGTCTGTATGTCTGTCTGTCTGTCTGTCTGTACATATGTTCCGAATAGAAAATTCCATTTCTGAACCGATCCGGACCAAACTTGGCACACATACACTTCGGGGCCGGGAGGGTGTCATAGGCTACTTTTCGTCATCGATCAATATCGATTTTATCGATTTTTATCGGTTTTTTTGCAGAGTTCGCCTACGGGGCTGGGATTTGGCACAGAGGGTAGTCGAGCATGCTGATTACGAATAAAATATTAGTTTTTGAAATTATCCATTACTTTTAGTTTATCGATTTTTGCAAAGTTCGAGCTACGGGGCTGGGAGTTGGCACAGGGGGGTAATCGAGCATGCTGATTACGAGTACAATATTAGTATGGCGCTATTCGGCTATCCGGGCCCCAAAATTTTTTTGTCGTAGAGCTTGCTCAGATTCCGTGTATAAGGGTTATCTTACATGCTGATTACAGATATCATACTTTCTTCGCAGAACGTCCGTGTGGTTACCACAGGTGTACGGTAGGAAGTCAAAATCATGAATTCGGCTGGAGTTCGGCCCAGAGAACTTATTCGACATGCTGATTACGAATTTCATACTCTCTCTGCATATTGGGACCTTTTCATAGAGTTACGATGGTTATACGGCATGGGATCGAAAACATAGATTTGCTTTAAACTTCGTTTAGAGTGGCCATTTAGTGCGCTGAACATGAATTTCATGCTGATTTCGCAGGATAGCGCATTTTTTTGGGTTACGGTGGGTGTACAGTAGATGGGTCGAAGTTCCAGATTTGCTCAAAACCTTACCTGTAACGGTTCAGTAGCATACTGCTTATGAATATATGCTTTCTCGCTGTCATAACGCATTATTGTGAAGTTATGGTGAGTTGCAGGGTTTGAATGGACATTTTTTCGCTTTCGGGCCAATTTAGAGCCCAGATATTCACAAAATGGGGAAACGGTCGTTTTGCATAGCGGTCTCCAGCGCCATCCTGATAACTTGACCCAACGTGTAGCGCACGCGGCAAATCTCCCTCCCCCTGTTTTTGCTTAGGCAAAAGCCACCGAAGGTTTCGCTTCGCGCTGAAGGCTTTATAGCAGTCCGCTCGCTGCCACTTCTCAGCGGGAAGCGACAGTGAGGCGATGAGGCCACCGCGCTTTTGGTGGGTTTTCGCGGTGGCTTTGTGGCTGCCGGCTGAGAGCCTGTGATTGTCTGAGTTGCTCCACCCTGGTTACAATCTTTGTGGGCTTCGTGTGCGATGAATGTCTGCTTTGATGTTTTTCAGTCACTTGTGAAGAACAAACGTATTCCTTTTTGATAAAGCCTGGGCGGTTACTCCAGCTCTGAAGCAAATTCCCGAGTATACGAAATCAAAATCTTTCACTTACTTTTTGAGGAAGTTCTCATCGCATGAAATTGAGCATTCATGAGCAAAGCCTTCAGCTCGGCTCCCGTCCAACCTTCAGTTCGTTCAGCCCAATTTGTGATGTTGAGATCGCGACTGTGACTCACTGACTTCAAAATAGTTTCAAGAATACCAATTCTATCCTCCTGAAAATGATATGCAGAAGAAGGGTTGATTCAATCATTTCTGCATGGTGAGATAGAAAGCCTTCGAACAGGCAACTCGCAATTCATGTAGATTTTGATAGTTTGGCACTCTAGGGAAATCATTCTTCATTCAAGTGTGTTCCATGCATGAGTTGTCTACATTTTGCTTTTCCTCATCGAACGCACCTTATTGGGTAATCCACATTCCAGAAGATGGTCAAGACGGCCCGGCCGAAGTAATGCGGGATCAAGCAAGTCCATTCTGTTTGTACAGCCGATTACGAACACTCCTAAACTGCTTTTAAAGATGAGGGAGCAACGCAGTGCGATAGTACATCCGAACAGCTCGGCCACTTATGGGATTCCAAATGATAGTTGTATGATCTTTCTCCGGCTCCGGCTCAGGAGTCACATCGCGCGCTGCCGCCCGCCGCGCCCATTTTGTGCCTCACAAAACTCTTCGGTGCTAAAGTGGCACGGCGCCATAGAAGGGGGGGGGGGGGGGGGTGGGGGTGGCGGCAGATACATGACTCGATGCCATAAGTAACATTGCGGCAGGAGTAGTGACGGGAGCTGAGGCACGTACTGCTCGACGTCACATTGCGGCGTCGCGTCGCGGAAAATCGTGTTTCCTGACCCGTACCCTCCTTCTCCACAGTGGTGCCAGCGCCGCGGTAGCGCCGTGCTAGCGCTATCAATCGATCACTAAGGGCGCTTTCACTTGGGCGCTGATACAGGGCTGGCAGGACGCTGGTACTCAGGCAAATCTGGATGCAACCTTAGGAAAGTCTTTACAAACACTCGAAGAAATGAAGAAGTGTAATCTCTATTAGATCTAGACTGTATTGCAGAAAGAACCCTTTGTGTTATGATCCAAATCTTCTCCACCCTGATCATTTCTGGTTTTAACGGCGATGTTTGCATCGCTCTTATGTTCTAACAGGGGAAGTTCGTTCAGTTGAAGTGGCCCCAAATGAGTCCTACACTGCTTTAAAGGGCATTTCGATTTCAAATCTGTTTTCGTAATCTGCCAAGCGCCTTACGCCGAGTTATGAGCAATTTTTTGGTTGAAAAATTCAGTGCACAACTGGGACAAAATTGTCCAAAAGTGCTCAAATGGTCCAGTGCAAAAATTATCAGAGCACTGCATTCAATGGATATCTTCTGTCGACTACACTTGAACTTAACACTGCTCTATTCGAGCGCTGAAGAGCTCGAACAATCAATTATACCTAGACTTTGCGTTCATTTTTCGCCTCAAAAAACATAACTCGGCGTCTAGAGGCGCTTGGCAGATAATGAAAACACATTCAGAATCAGCGTTCAATGTGCTTCAAAGCAGTGCAGGACTCAGTTGGGAAAGCCATCTCGACTGAACGGTTTTCCCTTGTGAAGCCAATATTCCCGCACGGAAACACCGAAGGATTAGTGCACCCTAGCTGCGTAAAATCAGGGTGTGTTGCAAAAGGTAGGACAGCAGTTTCCAGGCTGATGCTAACCACGTAAGCACGCGCTAGCCTCAGAAATCGCATCTTCTTTGTAAAAGCACATTCTTACTGACAGGGAAGACACCTAACTTAGGTCGGCCTTTTGATGAACGGCACATGTAATCGGAATCAGCTTGGTATGCTGAATCCAAATTTGTTGTTTCTAGCTGCGAAGCATTATTCTGAAAAGAGTTACGAGCTTTTTCCCACGCGCCGTTGACGCACTACTGAACATGGGAAGTTAGCCTATAAGTAGAAATCTGCTCAAAAAGGTGCTGGAATATTGAAATAACATCGAGTCAAGTTTTCTGGTACTGATAGGGAGCATTATGCATGTGCACTACCTCTGAATGTTGATACCGTAATCTCTGTAAGTCGACTATCATCCAAATTCCGCACAGGAAAAAGCCCACGACTCTCTTCAGAATAACGCTCCGCAACTAGCGACAAGATATTTGGATTCAGCGTTTCAAGCTTATTCCAAATACAGGTATCGTTCTTTAAAACGGCGACCTAAGTTAGGTGACTTTCCCCCTGAGCTTTTCCATATTTCTCAATTCCTTTACGAAAATTTTCAAGATGTTTCCGTAATGAAAAAGTAAGTTATGGGTCAGAGAATATTCAAAACTCAGTAAAAATGAGCAGAGTTAAAAGGATGAGCTCGGAGCTCAGTGATAAGTGCAATTTGGTGAAGCAAATGCAAGAAAAAAAGTGAAGTACTTGAAGTTCCATCACCGAAACTCTTCGTGGTATTTGAACTACTTTCTCGCCTTATTTTTGAGCAAATAAAACTCTTAGGACCGCATGCATTAACATCCCCGCGAGAAGGGGATCGCGGCCAAGCTTTATATCCTCAAGCTCCAGACATATGATTGTTGTCTACCTATCCGTAAGTATTCCTACCATCCTTCACTACGAACATATTGAAAGAGGCAAGAAGCTGTACAAGCCGCATTTTTCAACTTTTTGTATGATCCCTGATGATCCCCGGAGGTCATGCGTCATTTCTTTGAAGTCATTTTTCTTCTTTCGATGTTAATGAAAACATTTCAAAGTTGTATTGCTTATCTAACTCAACAGTGCTTAGTATGTTGCTGACAAAAACAAATGAGTTTTTGAAATATCGACTTTTTCGATAAACCCCAACCTTCGGCTTGTGGAAACTGTTCTCTAGGTTTTCCCCACGGGTTAAAATTGAGCTTTGCAATGCTGTGAGAGAAGAGTGGAGGGGGGGGGAATTCATTGGCTGCAAAACGATATGCGACTTGGAGTGATTAGAAACTTGTGAGAAAGGGGTAAGAGAGCTAACACATTTCGTGCAAAACCTGCAGTCAAGATATTGCTCACAGGGGAATGGTCAAAAGTCGATGTGGCCAGTTCAAGCAAGCTGCCTACCATTGGATGTAGTCTACGCTGATCTCGAATCTGTATTTCATATCTGCTTAGCGCCTTTGTGGACGAAGTTATGAACAGTTGTATTGCGAAAAAATCGTATATAAAAATTGCGAAATTGAGCTCATTATTGCACTTTCAGCTAGCTGCATATTTTGGCCCAGCATTAAGCCGAAATGGCTCTGTACTGCCAAGCTTGCGCTTTGCATACATGATTTCTTAGCAGAATAACGGCTTTTAACGGCTCATAGCGTTGCCCGCATGGGCACTAAGCAGATATGGAATACAGATTCGAACTCAGCGTGTTATGCTGCATCTAAGGGTATGCAGCTTGTTTGGATTGACCACTTCGATTTCTAACCATTCCTTGTAGGATATGCAGGCGTAAACGAGCAGAGGAAAGTGTCAGAAACGACAAGATTTTTGACATTCCGGTTGGAAACCCTCGCATTCTCTATGGAAACATGCAACATTAACAACATGTTCAAAAGTTTTCATTTCTGCCATTTTGATGGATGTTTTCGATACCAAATAAGAAGAAGGATCGTACTGTCTAAATCAATAGTATTTGGAAGGTTTCTACAAAGAAACTGCGACCTGCTTGCACCATCAAAACAGATTCTAGAATATTGCGAATATAGTTTAGCTTTGTGAAGAAACTACTATGCAGGGATGGCTGCAGCCACGCTCAATGTTGCACGATTCAGAGCTCGCTGGTCTCAAGAGGCAACATGAAAGAAGGAGACTGTGACTAAGGTCATGTCTTTCGTTTGAAAAAACTAGTGAATCAGTAATTTAAGGTGCTAGATTGCATCCGCGCGCGGGACCACCCCGCGGTTTCCCGCTATTTGCAGATTTTTAAATTGCGCTTACGTTTCTTTATATATTAGAATCTACCCCCCCCCCATCACCCAAAAATTATTCTTCTGAAGAAAAGAAGGAACTCCAAATTGCATAATGAGAACAAATGATTACTGCCGGCTGCCTGAGTATTTCGGTGAATTGTTGCTTAAAGGGTTTTGAAAGTGTAAATATTCAAACAGTACATCTAACTATTTGGCTATAGATAGTTTTGGTCGCTTTCGCGCCCTCTACAACTACATATAAGTTTTTGTCCAGTGTTTGATACATCTAAAAAGAGCACATTAATGGGAATAAGATTGTTAATCTGTTTTAGAAGAATTTATTTCCTCATGAAGAAAAAGCGCAAAAAAGTGCCAAGTTCAAGAAAATTTCAGTCTTTCTTCAAAAAATTTCAAAACGACAGATCACAATTTTTGTTGTTCACGGGTAAATAGGGAAAACTTATGTGTATCCTTCCAAAATACTCATCTCTACATCAATCACAGCATGAAAACGAATCTTTGAACGAAGAAGTGAGCTCACGAAAACTTAGCCATGTTGAAGCATAACTGTCCTTTACTGACATTAAAAGTTCGGGTAGTTGATATGTGATAGTAGAAGCTTTGAGTATTTCCCTCAAAGAATCTTACACAATAAACAATAAGAAAAGTTTTCACGGAGATTTCTATGCTAAAGCGAAACTACTTTTCAACAAACAAACCTATCAAAGCCTCTCATACATGTCATATCTTGTTCAGACTTTTCAAAGTGTTATGACAACAGATGTTGTGTGAAAGACCTTGACATCAGTGGATGTGAGAGTCACTGTCGTCTCCTTCGCACGAACCGTATAGTATCGCTAGTTTTCAGAAATCTAGCGAAGAGAGGGCGTAATGATTTATCTGGGGGATAGAAGTCGATAGCATTCTCTGCTGCGTTATAGTGCGAACGAGGGGCCAAGAATTTTGGTCTAATTACACGAGGTACTTTTGCTTGCATTTACAAACCGGTTGCCTTTTACGTAGCAAAGCTGCATAATTCGACTATCTAATAGCAAGGTATATAAATTTATTTGCATACCTTCGAGTCCCTCAGCGCCATCCATTTCCGTAAGAAGCTGGTTAACAACGCGGTCTGTCACTCCAGTAGAGTCGTTTCCTCGCTGAGGTGCTAATGAGTCCAATTCATCAAATATTATAATACTAGGTGCTGAGGCTCGTGCCCTGGATACAACAAATGTAAGCGTGTAAAGCACTATATCGGATGGCGTAGAAGAAACCCTTCTCATTTCTTGTCGTGCCTTTTGTGTGATTGTTTTCGATCATTGAGGAAATCCAAAAAAGAAGCAGATTCGTTGTTTGTTGTGGATGGAAACTTTTATTTATGAACCGGTCCGGATCAAACTTAACATACATACACCCCGAGGCGGGGTACGCTATACAGCGGTGCGGGGTGGGTATCACAGGCTGGATTATCTATCAATATCCATTCTATCTACCTCTTGCGAACTTCGAGCTACGGGCTGGGATTACGGATGTATTAACCGTTTCTAAAAATACTCGCCTTCATCGACCTTACGACCTTACCGATTTTTGCAAGCTTTGAGTAACGCGGCTGAGTTGACACCCGGGGTAAGAGCATGCTGATTACAAATGCAACATTGTCTTCTGGAATCATCGGTCACCTTTATCGATTCTACCAATTCTTCACAGAATTCAATTGGGGCAGGGGGGTTAGGGGAGTAAATGGGCATGCCAAAAGCGAGCTTAGCATTAATCTGGAATCTACTTCATCAAATTTTTGAAAATCTTGATCTACTAGGGGGAGGATACGAAACTACTTCGGCAAATCGAAAAGAGATCATGTTGCGCTAGAAGACACTTCTAGTTTTACACTGACATGACTTCAAACCTGATTCCAATTATGCTTTTCTATTTTGCAATACAACTCCGCGAAAGAAGTTCTCACCCCTTAAAAGTTCAAATTGTTAAGCGTCGAGTGGCATAAAATTAGCGAAAAGCTGCACAAAAACATCTGATAGTAGGTTCAACTTTGTACCAATTTATCGACTACAAGGAAGGAACACAAGCAGTAGAAATCCGCATAGGTGTTTTTGTACAGCTTTTCGCTAATTCTACGCTGCTCAAAGGCAGTGGGTCGGCAGAATGAGACCCGTGGCAAAACAAGGTCACAGGGTAGGAGCCCCCATAATGGGACCTATGGCCAAAGTTCGATCTTTCTCTGCCACTTCTAACCCCCGAAATTTCAAAGCGAAAGCAGCGCTCATCCCCTGTCCTCTCCGAACCCGCCCACCCCATGGACGAGTGAACGCGAAGCTCGTCATGGCGAAGACGCAGAGTCGTTGCAGGACCTCATGCTTATAGCATTGCGGCTGCCGGTCTGACCGCGGAAGTCACTCGTCCATGGGGTGGGCGGGTTCGGAGATGACAGGGGATGAGCGCTGCTTTCGCTTTGAAATTTCGGGGGTTAGAAGTGGCAGAGAAAGATCGAACTTTGGCCATAGGTTCCATTATGGGGGCTCTTACCCTGTGACCTTGTTTTGTCACGGGTCTCATTCTGCCGATCTACTGCCTTTAGGCTTGAGAAAAGAGAAGTAGATTTGAATAAACGTTCAGGGACGCGTCTAGTGATATAAATCTCTTTTCAATTTGTTGAGGTAATTTGGTAACAGTCCCCTGTGACGATGGGTAATACAATGGAATAAGTGAGGTGCTGACTACGAAAACATGGGGACATGGCGTATAGAAGAGGGATAAGGACAGGGAACTACAGGAGTAGAGAATGGTCATCTTTATCATAGAGTATTAGCAGGGCGGGCGATACCGGGTATGCTAGCTAGTATATATTTCACGCGACTCACTTAAAAATATGACAACCATCGCGGCAAATGTTTTGCCGTGCAAACCCTAAGCTCATCATGCCTGATTTCACTATGGGCTACCAGATAACTATCGCTTATTGTAAATTTTCTTATGCAATGCGCGCGAGTTTGGCGTAAGCATATCTTCTCCTATCGATCTTGTTGCGGAGCAAAAAAAAAATCTATAAACAAGAAAAGGAATTTGAAGAAAAGGCTTTCTTCTGCAATGAATAAAAAAATGAATGAGCAAACCTTTCGAAAACATTTCGCACATTTTCTTCGCTGGATCCGATGTACTTAGAGAGAAGTTCTGGCCCCTAGAATAGGGCATGGTATATATTGCACATTAGACCATTTCTGGTATGAAGAGTGACTTTAGTAAAGGTGTTTTTGGTGCAGGTCCAAAACCACTAATGCGTGTCTAATAAACACATGATTGGGTAGGCTAGTAAGGTCTAATTTCATGCCAGCTACTTGGACCTTCTATTAGTGATCAGAAAGCTCTGACAATTTGCATTTGATCATAGCAGTAAAATAACTACGCTCATATATGACCAACCTAAAAAGGAAGCGTAGAGAATTTGAATGGGAACAAGCTCCTAAACGAATTGATTCGGTCGATAATCTAAATTATGACCGAGAGTTCAAAAGCTTTGACATGATCTCTACTTAGCTGTTTTTTAAAGAAGTGTCATTCTATGGCTAAGATTTGAAGCGAAAAATTTTCTTATTCTCTGATAGGACATCCTAGACTTGTCACTTTTGAAGTTATCAGACTTGTGCCATTTCTATGAAAAATTTCAAGACTTCTAATATTCCACTGTACTTTGAATATAAGTCATCACGAGCTTATTTGTGGGATTATGAAAGATGACTTGTTTAGTGATAAGAGAACACAATCCTTTCAGTAAAAAGAGCGCTATAGTGTGAGCTGCACCCTATCCCAATCGGGATCAGGCTGAAACGTTGGCTCGAATTTGCGCAACGCTAGATCAATGCGCTGCATATGCGCGCGCAATATGTATTCTGATTATAAACTGTCAGAGATCAAAGAAATTGAAGAGAGATTAGACGGATCTTTTCACGCCACGTTATCGTTGATGTGCCAAACTATAGCCGTGCGGATGCGCATCACGCTATTTTGCGATACGGATTGGTACAAATTATATATTAGTATCACTCTGGCTGTAATAAGTGCTAACTCTATCAGTGATCGTCATAGAATCGACATTTTTTAGGGATGTATCACTGTGATAGGCACAGAGTCATGCCCCAGAATGACTAAAACACCTGATCACCCTATTGAAACTACTGATTAGTTGGGTTTAGCTGTATATGAAACTGCTCCAGCGTGCAAATTGTCCAGCATGTCGTCGAAAGACGTAGACCGTCGACTTTCTTGTAGCTTTCATCTTCACTGCAACAAAAGACCAGAAAGTGAGCACACTAAGGCCCGTATGCACGTACATCCCCTCGGGGAGGGGATGTGCGCTTAACCATTGAAATGATCCCCGCTGGGGATCCCCTCCCCTCCCCGCGCGAACCCCCGTATGCACAAAGACAATATCGGACAAGGGATCCCCTGTGGGGAGGGGAAGTGAACCCCCTTATGCACAAGAGGGGATCAAGCGGGGAAACCACCTTGCTTTCAAATTTTCTATAAAAAACTCTTTCTTATTTCATATTTTGACTGCAACTCATCTTCATCTCATCACTTTCAATAATTTAGGGTTGCGGAATGCGCGTATGCAGTGACTGCGCTCGGGGCATTAAAAATGATTTTTTCTACTCCCATTATGTTCCTGCTTTCTTGGATGCTGCCCACTTTCGCTCATGCTGCCCCATTTCAGCGTAAAAATGTTGAACTATAGAAGTTGATGTGTCTCTGCAAGGGAATGGGTAGAAGACATTATGCTGCCGAAAAGGGGGGGGGGGTGCCGCGCGGACGCTCAAAGCAGTATTTTAAAACATAACAAAAGCGGCAAATTGTGCCAGTTCTCCATAAACGCTGTAGCTATCAGCAGCATATCGTCCTTCATCCCAGGGGAATGATCCCCAGCGGCCATCCCTGCTATGCACAAGGGGAACGCTGGGGAGGGCATCACTCCCCAGGGGATTTCTACTCAGAAATAGGCAAATGTGCTACTTTCTAGATTTTTTCGAGGCAGCTTATGTTAAAATAACAAGATAATGGCAACATGTCATTACAAAGTGTTTACTCAGCCTATATAGTTAAAACTATTATGTTATATGAAAAATGCGCAAATTTTCTGAATGATCAAGAACTCCTACAAATAATCGAAATTGGCTGCTATTATTGCTCGGATTCCTTCTCAAGAGGCGAATATAGAAAAGAAAGACAAATTGCAAGCCACAGGTCGCTGAGAGAAGAACCCGGCTTTCAAAGAAAATCCTCCGTCAAAATGAACGAAATGCTTGGTAATGACTGAGCAGAACCAGAATATCCGCGTCTCTGGTATGATCTACACCATCGAACCCCTACTTCGTTGCAGGGGATGTCGATCCCCTCCCCCGCGTTATTGAGTTGAATTCGCGCATACGGGGTTCGAGTGGGGGAAGGGAAGGGATCCCCTCCCCCATTCGAACCCCGTATGCACTGGGGTTCGCTCGATCAATACCTCTGAAACCATTCACATCATCCCCGCTTAGGTGCAGGGGAGGGGATCGCTCCCCTCCCCTCTGTCATGGCGGGGTTCGGCGAGGGGATCGTTCCCCTGGGGATCCAGCTCCCCTCCCCTCCCCAGCGGGGATGTACGTGCATACGGGCCTAAATCAGTCGGTACAATGGCCAGATAAAATCACTCATATTTCCAGACCCAGAATACCTAAAAAAAAAAGACGACGGCATTATTCGATTCTCCATGACCTCAGCTTTCGAAAGGTATATAGCTTGTTTTGGCATTTCGCTTCCAAGGCACTTACTCCTTCACTCTATATGGGAGAAGCAAAGACACTCAGCTGGACACCCCCTTCACCGGCTCCCCCTATCGCACCTATGCTGCGGACGCATCGGCGTCTCTCTGACCGAGCGCCATTTCGTTTCTCTTACCATCTGCTGTCTCTCCCATGCACGAGCTATCTTAGTCGGACGCAATGGCGCCCTGTCTTTGCGTGCGACGAAGATCATGAATTGCCTATACTATATTCTCGCCGCGGACTGTCATCCAAACCCACAAAAGACGGACGAAAACTAACAAAGGAAAAGGTAGGTAATGATAAGGAGGTATGAAATAAGATTGATACTTTGGGAAAAATTTAAGCTAATTCAGAGTGAATCTTTCTTAGTTGTTAACACTTTCTTGAAGAGAGTTATCATGTTTTCTTTGTAAACGTCAATATGATGACTTAGTGGTATAAGACGACGTGTACCACCTGGACGACTATATCGAAGAGCTGCAAGGACGTTAAAATGGCACAAGCTAGACACCACGATAGTAATTTTTATGTGGCAGGACAGTATTTTTTTCCATTGACCATATCGCTTACAGGAGATTCATATTGTTTTTCGGAAAAATAAATACTTGGTACCTAGTAGCTAAAGCTCTCACTGTGCGTAATATCCCAAACCGCCAGATCTAATAAGTACTTATGTAATGTAGTTTCAACGTTACGATAATCAAAAACGATGTTCCAAATAGAACCTCTGCACTAGCGAAGAGCAAACATATTTTTTTGCGCTACGCGGGAAAATTTTATTTAGCTCGAACTCACCTTAACAAATATGCAACTAAATTTTGATTCTGTAGCGATTGCACGAGCAAGCAAAGTTTTGCCACAACCACTTGGACCATAAAGAAGCACTCCTTTTCCAGTCTGAACATCGTACGAACGAAATACTTCGGGATACTGAAAGGAAGATATGAGGATGATAAATTCCTTCTGCAAACTTGACCAATCTATGCTCAAGAACCTATCATCTTTAGAGTGGAGATGACAATCGTCACAACTAGTTTCTCTGTGTTTATTTGTCTGCGGTTTTTCCTCATATATCACACCAAGAATGCTACTTTTTGATTTTTGGGTAAATCCGTACTTTCAAAACTTATTTCAATGATTCTTGACACACCTTTGAAAGATAGAGGAAAGTTTAGAGAAAAGAAAACGCTCGATTTTGCCATCAAGGTTACAGACGCTGAAACATGCTAATCTTGCACAACGTACCAAGGTTATGATCATGTATCAGGTTCCGTCTCCTAGGTATAAATGGTTTAGGAGTTAACTTCCGAACAAAAATTCATTGTTCTAGCTTGAGTTGTTTGATTTTGTGCGCTTCATATCCATTTTCTACGCGCACACGAGGTTGGCAATGCAAGTGCACTATAGTTTCAACGCTACAAAATCATGAGTGTCGATACAAAAGCTTATTCGAGGTCAATTTTTATGCCAATCACACACTTGTATCATCACAGATCAAAAACTTCTGACTCTAATTTCATAAACTTAACTAACCATCGATGGCCAGATTAGGATCTCAGTGAGCCTGAATTTTTCTTTTTTCATCCCTCCGACATCTTCAAAAGTCACTTTAGCGTCGTCTTTTGTTTTCAGGATGACGTTCGCTGATAGGCGAGAGTTATCAAGGGCTGATGCGACATCACAATCAAGAATTGGTGGATATGGGGCTGAAATTCAATTATTTTCATAACATACACAAAATCACAACTAGAGTTGCTAATGTACTTATGCACAGAACGAAACAGCAACAGTACTCGAGCTTACATGTAATTCCCTCCAAACACCTCAAACAGCCCATAGGGTACTACGTAGGATAGACTTTGACTATAACACTTAGTTCTCATACTTCTAAACTACTGAAGAGGATGATGTACAGCAGATTTCGCATATAACAGCTCATCGAAATTAGTGTGGTGCTCCGTATCGTATAGCGCGTACAAAAACAAAACAGCTCAAAGATTTGTTTACTCTAAATGCACACAAGATCTAATTTAATTCTGAAAGTTGCCCACAACATAAATCGTTTTCAAGAGCCATCACTATTGTCTACTAGCTTGCTTACCCGGCTCCGCTCAGCCCTGTCAAAACACTTTAATAAAGATCCCATGCATAGATGCGATAGGTGGAGAAATTTCTCTGACCCCCTTCACTTCAGGGCCGGCATCTGGTTGACCCCTTTCACCTGAGGTTGAGACTAGAATCAAGGCATAACGGCTTAATCAAACAGCTTTACAACGGCACTTTTTGTTCGGAAAGGAAACGCCAGCTGCTCTTCTCCTCAGACATCACGACTGCAAGAGAGTATCGAAGCAACAACGTTTTGTTGAAAAAACGCATGCTTGAGACCTTCAGCGCACTCAAAGTAGCGTTGATAACGAAACATAATCAAAAATTAAAAGGATGCCTGATTCTTTGTATTAGGTTGTGCCGAAAGTTCGTTCGCACCATTTTCAAAAATTCATAACTCTTTAAATTCTTAACGAATTTGTACGATCAAAATTTTGCTCAAGAGAGGAACTCATGCTCTTTGCATCTGTGTCTGAACTGTTCATTAATGTATACAAATGAAGGAGATAGAAGCTCCAAACCAAAATCACTCAAAATTTGAATTTTTGTAGGGTCATAATAAATTGGAAACTTGCAGCAAAAATCGGAGCAGTCGGTATCTTAGGTTTTTTCACCAGCTCTTTCTGACAGTGCAAAGTTTGCGCTGAAAGAACGTCTCTATGAAAAGTTATGATTTCCCTGAAAAAATGCCAAAATAAATCAAATTCGCCCTTTTCTTGGATTGCTCGAAAATCATAACTTTTCATAGAGAAGTTCAATCAGCGCAAACTTTGCACTGTTAGAAAGAGCTGGTGAAAGAACCTCCAATACCGACTGCTCCGATTTTTGTTGCAAGTTTCCGATTTTTTATGACCCTACACGAAAAATTCAAATTTGAGTGATTTTGATTTGGAGCTTCTATCTCCTTCATTTGTATACATTAACGAACAGTTCAGACACGGATGCAAAGAGCATGAGTTCCTCTCTTAAGCAAAATTTTGATCGTACAAATTCGTTGAGAATTTAAAGAGTTATGAATTTTTGAAAATGGTGCGAACGAACTTTCGGCACAACCTAATATAATTAACATTGTATCGATGAGTACACACTGTCACAGAAAGAGTTGAGCAAGAGTAGAAAATCTGGACTAGCCAGTGATGGATGGATGTTCACTGACAAGAATCGTACTATATCTCCTTTCACTAGAGAGAATAATTACAAATAGAAGGGCACTCGGATTACTCGTTTCTCAAGCTTTCGAATCATATATAAACTTCGAAAAAAAACCTTCTTGGTCTGAAAAAATAATTACCCGGATTTGGCTGATATTGTAGCTGGGTAAAATTGCTCGTATCTCGCTTTACAGAGAAGCTAGGAAAAAAGAGACGGTCTACGTCGATTCCTCGTGTTCTTAGCTACCGAATGGTATACAAAATTTTGGTGCATAAAACTTTCCCAAATCCAAAAGAGTCTTGCTCCGGCTACCCATAGAAAGCCGGAGCAGGGTGGTGCAAGTTAGTATTGAATATCTCCACCTCAATTTTGAAAAACCACGAGTTATTTCACCCAACCACCTATAGACCATTAGAAAGCTCGCGAAACAAGAAACAAGGATTCGACTTAGACCGTCTCTTTTTCTCTAGCTCCCCTCTACTCAGAGATACATGGCATTTTAGCTAGAAACATGTGTGTTTTTGTCAAGAAATTCCTGGGTTAAGAATGAATGAAGGTGCCTGATTTTCTAACAGTAGCACAGAGCAAGACCTTGTCAGTAAACGTAGACCGTCTCTTTTTTTCTAGCTCTCTTCTTTCTCTCAGAAATGGAGCGCAAAGTGATTGCATAAAATCAGTTGATGCTGAAGCTAGATATGATTTCTTATAAGTGTATTCACAGGAGAGCTGAAAAAAAAAGAGACGGTCTACGTCGATTCTATATGTCTCAAGCTTTGAAATGTTATGTCGACTGATGGAACACAAAGCTTTCCCGAGTCAAAAATGTCTCTGTTAGATGACATTCGAAGGCCTAAGCATTGAGAAAATCTTCATTTTACACCTCTAGACCGCTTATTTTCCTTCTTTTCACTCCCGCTACCGTTGGGCATGCAAGCTTGCGTCAGCATTCATTCTAAGACTCAGTTACCCCTTTCACTTTTCTAGGTCGGAAATAGCCAAAACCCCCTTCACCTGAAGAGGACCCTGCTCCCCCTATCGCACCTATGGTCCCATGCCTATCCCTGTATAGCCTTTCCCTGTGCCCACTTCTACACTTCATTTCCCGTTCCCTATGTTGTTTTCGAAATCAGCATGCCCACTTACCCCCTGTGCCAACTCCCAGCCCTGTAGCTCAAACTTTGCAAAAAATCGATAAAATCGATAAAAGTAATCGATAATTCTGGAAACCAATATTGTATTCGGAATCAGCATGCCCACTTACCCCCTGTGCCAACTCCCAGCCCCGTAGCTCAAACTTTGCAAAAAATCGATAAAATCGGTAAAAGTAATCGATAATTTTGGAAACTAATATTGTATTCGGAATCACCATGCCCACTTACCCCCCTGTGCCAACGCAAAAAAATCGATAAAAATCGATAAAATCGATATCGATCGATAACGAAAGGTGGCTTATGACATGCTCCCTGCCCCGAAGTGTATGTGCGCCAAGTTTGGTCCAGATCGGTTCACAAATAAAATTTTTTATTCCGCACATACGTAAAGACATACAGACAGACATTCAGCTTTATATATAAGAAGGATTAGGGCCGCATGCACTAACGTTCCCGCTGAGGAGGGGATCGCAGCTCAAAGGCAGCGGCTCGGCAGAATGACAATTTTGAGATATTCCCCGTTCCCAGTTTCCCTAAATGAGCTAACAAGTAAGTGCAGGACTTGCAAGTCCAGGACTGTACTTTGCAGCTTCAAAAGATATCAATAACCCGCTTTTACAGATGTGAAAAGTGTCCAAGCGCGATTGGCTCGTGAGTGGAAACCCGTACCCATCTCGGCGGCAATTAGATAGTTGGCTTCAGCAGCCACATTTGCGACCCGCCCAAACAGCAATTTTCACGTCTGGAAAAGCGGGTTATTGATATTTTTTGAGCTGCCGAGTACAGTCATGGACTTAGCTCATCCAGGGGGATCGAGAACGATTGAATATCCCAAAGTTGTCATTCTGCCGGGGTGCTGCCTTCAAAGGCAGTGTCCGGGCAAAAAGTCGATTTTGAGATCTTGTGCTTACCCGAGCCTATTTGCTATGCTAATTCCGAAAGTCCACTAGAGAGCGCAAAAAGGCGAAAAAGGGCTCTAAGCAAAAGGGAAGCAGGTGGGCGGGGTCTTCCCACTGTGAAATCACGTTCCCAGCTTCCGGAGCGATCTTCTCCATTTCCCCATCACCCCTGACACCTCCATCGGCCAAGCGCTAACTATTGAATCGGAATCGGAATCGAGAAGATCGCTCCGGAAGCTATGAGCGTGAATTCATAGTGGGGAAGATTCCGCCTACCTTCGTTTCCCTCCTGTGTTGGACACCTTTTTCGCCGTTTTCGCGCTCTCCAGTGTGGATTTTCGGTTCAGCATAATATTAGGTCGTTTCAAAAGTAATTTCGCTTTTTTCAAACGGGCGCCACATTTGATGAAACAAAGGTTTCTAAGAGATCTCGGAGGCATTCGATGCAGAATTTCATTCTCTTTTTAACGGTTGTGAAAATGTCGCAAAACAATCAATGAGCTTTCGGAAAATAACCAAAGTCTGCGACCCATGCTTTTTGAGATAGTCAAGTTTCACAATTTTTTAAAACTTTCACATCAAACCTCAGAAGAAGTTCAAGTAACTGTTCGATAGAGCAAACCATATAGAATGCAAAACTACTTTTTTTGTCCTTTCCATAGCTTGTCACACATTTTTAACAGAATTTTAACTGATGTCACCAATTTCCATACTTGGGCAGCTAAATCCTCATAGAACATCAAAAGAAGAGCAGCTCGGCCACTATTCGACGCAGCATCTTCTCCTCTTTCTAACAGGTGGTTTTTGTTCCCGATTCTTTTAGTTTTCGGGGATAAAATCATCACAATTCATTTTTTCAAGGAGCCTCATGCTGTACCTGAAAATCACGAAATTTGATATTTCGAACCGGTAAACCCTCACTTGCTTTGCAAAGTTAGTGCTAACTCATAGTACAGTCTTGGTAGTCTCAAATTCCGAAAAATTATGATGTTTGCTGCGATTGTGGCTGAGGTGGGCCTGAGAAAATACGATGGCTCTGTTAAAAAATCTTTTAAAAAATTACGGCGAGCTATGAGAAAGAGAAAAAAGTAGCGCTGTATTCTATGAGGTTTAGTCTATCGAATCTTTACTTGAACTCCTTCTGAGGATCGATAAAAAAGTTTTAAAAAATTGTGAAACTTGACTATCTCAAAAAGCATGGGTCGCAGATTTAGGATATTTTCTGAAAGCTCATTGACTGTTTTGCAACATTTTCATAACCATTAGAAAGAGAATGAAATTCTGCATCGAATGCCTCCGAGATCTCTTAGAAACCTTTGTTCTATCAAATGTGGCGCTCGTTTGAAAAAAGTGAAATTACTTTTGAAACGACCTAATACATAGGCCCGGGTAAGCACAAAACTCAAGACTGACTTTCTGTCCGAACACTGCCTTCAAAAGAAAGTTTCATTTCCTATTAAACGGCAGCAAGAAGCTGTACAAGCCGCATTTCCCAGCTTTGTAAGAACCCTTGATGGTCCCCAACTGCCGACCGTCTCTTCTATAAAATTACTCTTCTTTTTTTGAAGTAAATCTAACCCAAACAGTGCTAATCATGTTTTTGGTAAGAACAAATGGTGTTTCGAAGTCATGAAGTATGCGATGAACAAGTCGAAAGTTAAGGTTTATCGAAAAGATCGAAATTCCAAAAACTCATTAGTTCTTATCAGCAACGTGCTTAGCACAGTTGGGTTAGGTAATCAGTACAACTTTGAAAGGCTTTCGTCAACTTTGAAGGAAGAAAAATAACTTTGAACAAAAGTGCGGCCGCGGGGGATCATCAGGGGATACAAGAAGACGGAAAATGCGGCTTGTACAGCTTCTTGCTCCCGTTCAAGATGTTCATAGTGAAGGATGGTGGGAGTACTTACGGATAGGTAGACAGGGTGAAATCCACATATGTGGAACTTCAGGATATGAAGCTTTCTTTTAAGCTGCGATCCCCTCCCCAGCGGGGATGTTAGTGCATGCGGCCCTAGTGGCCAGTATACTTGGGTAATTCGAGAATTTTTCATCGAATGAATGAATTTCGAATAAATTCGGAAAACCAAAAATTTCGAATGAATGATATTCGAATAAATTCGGAAAATCAAAAATATCGAATGAATGAATATCGAATATATTCGAACATTGGAAGTCGAATTTCGAATAAATATTCGAATGATTTATCGAATAACTAAAGCAATGACATCTCAAACTTGCCGACATAGGGCTGTTTCATACTGCCGCACTGACTGCAGCAGTCTGCAGCTGACTGCACTGACCGCTGCAGACTGCTGCTGACTGCAGCAGACTGCAGCTGACCGCGATGACCGCAACGGCCGCACAGACACTGCATGCTTTCGTAAAAGAGAAAACAATTGCGACTATGTCAAAACACCGTGATTTACGCCTAGGAAGTTCATAGGTTCTAACTTACTCTTTTCAATCAAATTTTGCCGATTGTTTTTCATTGGTATGCTTATATTTGTTCTGATTCTTCCTTTATTGCATACACCTGTTTTACTTTCCTTCGTGTTGTCTTCTGGATCTAGGCAAATATTGTTGTTGATTGTTTGGGCTATAACTATTTATCATCTCCACTTTCACGCAAGGATACAGCGATCTGCGCGGCCCTTGCGGTCATTGCGGTCGTGCAGTCTGCTGGCAGTCAGCTGCAGTCAGCTGCAGTCAGCTGCGGTCAGTGCGGTCGGCTGCAGTCAGCTGCGGTCTGCTGCAGTCTGCTGCAGCCTGCTGCAGTCAGTGCGGCAGTCTGAAACAACCCATATCTGGCTAGAGCCGATCCAATCATAATCAGCCCCCTAGTATCCCCCATACCACCTCCTAGCTCAAAATTTTCAAAAATTGCTGAAATCGATAAGATAGATTCGGTTTTGCTCAGCATCCTCATTACCCCCTGTACCAACTCCCAAGCTCGTAGCTCGAGATTTTCCAAAAATCGATAAAATTTATAAAGTAAATTTTTATCCATAATCAGCACCCTCACTTACCCCCTTGTACCAACTCTCAGCCCCGTAGCTCAAACTTCCCCAAAAATCGATAAAGTCGGTCGGTCAGCATCTAGTCTATACATCAGCAAAAAGTCATATTTTACCCATTAAGGACGATCTAAAAAGCAGTCGATATAAATTTTTATGCTGTGCCCAAAAGATTCTTCTTCAGATGGTCTGAAAGAGACTAATGTACACCAGAATTAACTTTATTTCTTATCAGCATCAACAATGTAAAAGCAAAGGGCTTGCTCTACTTTCCACATCAATTAAAATCCACATAAGATTTTTTACTGTCGCAAGCAGTTGGAAGAATGCGACTCTCCATACAGTTCAAAGGTATAACGGTTGCAAAAGATGCATTACCGAGCTTTGCGAAAAAAAAAACGCGGACGAAGTGAGCTTGATACTCAGCAGTTGGCTTTGCAACAAAGTCGAATAATCTGAATACGGAGTCATTCGAATACGAATTCGAATAAACATTCGAATAAAACATTCGAATAAAATCTATTCAAAAGCCCGTTTTTTGATTATTCGAGTTTTCGAATAATATTCGAAACCTCGTTTTTTGATTATTCGAGTTTTCGAATAATATTCGAAACCTCGTTTTTTGATTATTCGAGTTTTCGACTTTTATTCGAAACCCTGTTTTTTGATTATTCGAGTTTCGAATATTATTCGAAAATGGAAGAACTCCGAATATCGAATTTCGAATACGAATATATTCGAATGTTTTATTCGAATGATCGAATTTCTATTCGATTCGTACCCAAGCATAGTGGCCAGTAATGACCCAGTAATTTCACAACCGATAGAAAATCTTTAAAGTCGACAGCGACCCGATTTAAAGGCAGTGTCCGGGCAAAAAGTCGATTTTGAGATGTTGTGCTTACCCGGGCCTATTCGCTATGCTGAATCCGAAAAACCACATTGGAAAGCGCAAAAACGGCAAAAAAGGGCTCTAACGCAGGAGGGAAATCGAAAGTGGGCGGAGTCCTCCCCACTGTGAATTTCGCAGTCCCAGCTTCTGGAGCGATCTTCTCAATTCCTCTAGCACTCTGAGATCTCCACCGGCCTGGTGCGAATGCATGACTTGAAATCGGAACCGAGAAGATCGCTCTGGAAGCTGGGAGCGTGAATTCACAGTGGGGAGGGCCCCGCCCACCTGCTGATTCCCCTCAGAGTGTTAGAGCCGTTTTTTGCCGTTTTCGCGCTCTCCAATGTGCATTTTCGGATTCAGCGTAGCGAATAGGCCCTGGTAAGCCCAAAATCTCAAAATCGACTTTTTGCCCGGACACTGCCTTTAAGCCGGCTCTCGGCACTATGTAGGTTTGGAGCCAATGTAAGAGAAACTGGATAATTGCCACTCATGGCTAAAGTACTTTGTTCAACTTCCGCTAATTTATGATTGATCTAATTTGGAATTCAGAGTGAGCCTACGTAATTTACGGAGCAAGTTTTTCTGCGACATAGTTTCCAGACTTTGAGATAGCTACTCAAGGTTTAACCATTACTCAAAATGTTCGAATTATAGTACATCGAACGACTGCAACATAAAGACGAGCAACTTGATATTATGAAAGTTTTGAAAGCGCGATTATCAGCAAACGCTACTTGAAAGGTAAGGATACCAACATAAGTTGGTGATTAAAGACGATATATCACTAGACGCGTCTTTGAACGCTTATTCCAAATCTGTTTTCCTTTTTTGCGGAGCAACTCTCTGAAACAAGTTATAAGCGTTTGAATATCCTTTCTCAACTGAATTGAGTATGTAGACTACAAGAAAAGAACAAAGCCGGCGAAAATCCGCAAAGGTGCTCCTTTAAAGCTTTTTGCTGATTTTGAGCCACTTAATGCTGGACAAATATAGACATGCAAACGCTCATAATTCCTTCCGGAGAGTTGCTCCGCAAAAAGAAAAGCAAATTTTGAATCAGTGTCTTTATTGGCCAACTTTTTTTCACTATCCTTCCCCTGTTAGGAAAATAATCAAGTACCAAACGGTCTGATATAATCATGTTCTTAAAATTTCAGGTAGAATCACACGTTGCTTACTGGTGGTTCCCACTAAGTACGCAAACAATTTTGGAGATCTATGAAATGTAGAACTTGACTAGCTGATAGCTATTCGATCTGCCCTGACTGACTAAAACAAAACCATATAAGACTGGGGTGCAGACAATGTCTAGAGGCTTCCTAATTAGATCTGTTAGGAGGCTTTTGAAACAAAGATGCTACCAGAAGAAAAGCTGGAGAGAAGGCAAAAAAATGCTCCGCACAAAGTATAGGGTTTGTATTTTAGATTAGATTTGCTATCGTGATAAATCTTAAGCGAAACGCTAACACTTGCTATTGAAGACTAGCGCGGACGACTCATCATCTCACATGAGATCTTCTATCATTTCTACAAACATGTAAAAACCAGCACCGAGATATCTCGTTCAACTCTTACGTCATAATTGAATAAGTTAGGTTTTGGTCAACAACTTAAGTACCGCAAAGACTCCATAGAAGTTGCCGAACTTAGATATCGATCGACCAGACTCCACAACATAAATGAATCAGAGAAACCTGACTGGAGGACAAACACCCTGAGCGTTCCCAGACAGATTACCTCTTATTTTAGCCTCTATCCGAGCTCTTGTTGCTAGCTGCCGCATGCCGCTCAGCGACAAATTCTCAGCCTTCGTCGTTTCCGTAAAGCACTTGTTCTCCATGAATCCATTCAAAACGTCAACTTTGTCTCCCTGAATAGAGCATACTTTGACTATGTCATTACACTCCGATTTTTCTACTCCCACATGCTCATGGAGTGCAAAGCAGCCGAACAAAACCAGTTCGTGCTACACTGACATCAATTGCCCAATTGTGCGAATGCCCAGAAGAAGAGCGCGCCAAGTGGTCAGGGATTGGCCGTAAGAAAAGTGAAATGAGAGGCGTGAGAGATGACGGAACTGAATCTAGGTCATACGGGGACTAGACGACAGTCCTAACTTACTTCAACTGGCGCCTTTTTTCCCTACCTCGATAAAAATTTCTCGCATTCCAGTCGGGAATCCCAGATGACACGAGGATTTTCAACATCGTTTGGAGAACCTCTAAGCGATCTGTCGAAGAAATATGTGAGGGAAGTGCGATCCAAGATAACGCAGCCAATCAGTTCAACAGTAAGGTTACACTGCCTTCTCATTGCATTCTTCCTGTGACGTAAACTAGCGGAGAGCTTTTTTTAGTTCGATACTGACTTCAACATCTTTCGCTTCATAATGTCAGCAGAAAGGGGGCATCGAAAGGAGAAGGACATTATAGAAGCAGCCGCAGGCGCACTGAATAATCATCTACGGATTCGAAAAGCGCTCGATCTAGTGCGTTTTACACTTTTCTTGGAGTATTTCGATAGCATTTTCTTTTTCTTTTTTTTTCTTTTTTTCCTAACTCTAGAATAATGTTCAACTTCCTATGAGTTATCTATAAGTGCGATCAGCAAGGTTCCGAGCAATTAACATTCGCTAAGGTAATTGCTTGTGAAATGAAGTCTGATGCTATCTAACGCAAAATTGCAAGGGTCCTCGATAAGTTCGGTAATTGACCAGTGTTTACCATTTTCTTCGTGCAATTCGATTGCAGCCATAAGAATCATAGACAAATACTTTCTCTCTAGAAACTGATCAAACCAGAGACTGACTTCTGGCGTATTCTTATCTTTTGACAGTACGAAAACGCCTTATTGTCCTCACATTCGATGCAGAGCTGGTTGTTAATTCGCACGATTAGTGAAGTATGGAGAACGAGTTTCATCAAAGATCTTGTTCCTTGATGTGGAACGCAAGGTTTCCTTGATGGCGGCTTTCGCGTGGCTACGATCTTTGAGTGCACTTGCGAAATAGGACATCTTTTTCTATTGGGCAAACTTGCAAAAGATCCCTTTCAGAATGCCTCAAAACAGCAGGTATTACCAGCGAAAAGGTTGGCAGCGTTTTGATGAAAGCAGGAGAAGATAAGCAGTTAGACAAACCTGCCTAAAGATTTTGCTGAAATGTGCATGAAGATTTTCTACGATGGTCCTGTTATGACTTGCAAATCGGATTAGCTTACAAGAGGGGGCTGGCGAACACTCCACTTATGTGGCCAAGTAGTTAATTTGTAGTCAATTTTCGAAGTAGGCGTACAGTGGGAACACTGCACAACGAATGTAATGTCCACTGTTCCGAATCGTCTTTTCCCACCAACAAAAAATCACAAATATCGCTCGCAGCAGAGTGTGCAGCAATGTGCCTTACTTAAACTACCGTAAGACTATGTTTACACTATAATACAAAATGGCTGCAGAGCAAGACACATGGCATTCACCTTTTTTGATATAATTAGTCATATTAGAAAGCATTAATACAACCACTCATGCACAAGCATCTACAAGGTTTAAGAAGCTTGAAACGTCGCTCTTTGCCTAAAAAACTCGGTCGAAAATCGTTTTGTGTCGGTCGGAGATCCTGAGATTTATCCTGCCAAATTTTTTACATCTGAGACCTTTTGAAATTTGCCTATGAAGTCATGTAATCTTCATGCAGCCATTGTTGCCAGTATGCAAATTTGTTCGATTCGGTCATGATCAAAACTTCGCAAGCATGAGATTATCCTCGATAGCGCAGTGGCTTTTTAACCGATAACGAGTTGCTATGATAATACGAAGACAAATTTTGAGTGCATGGGCTGCATGGGAGGGAGGGGGGGGGGGAATGGCTCAGCTGCAACTGTGTACCCGCATGCGCGCAGTTACATGGAAAATGGAAAAATAATTCATCGATTCACATAGGACCCAAAAACAAAAAATCAAAAAGAAAATTTGGTTAAAACAGCGGGGTTTGGAAGTTCATTTTCGTAAAGTCACTGCTTGTTATAGCATTTGAGGTTATGGATTTGGCTATAAAGTTTTCTCAATGCCCTCTAATTGCGACATCTTCTAGAAGCTCCAACACTTGTTCTCGAACGAAAGTAAAAGCGCTCCAGAAATTCTACGCAATTGTAATAAATCGCAATTGAAAAACTCTGGAAAATCGTTGGTGACGTACGTAGATAGCAAGTGGAGGTGGGCTTTCTAAAAACACCTCGAGACGGAAACACACCGCAAAGCAGTTTTACTTCCTGCTTTTTTTCGAATGATCGGCAACTGATCTTTGTTTTACAAGAATCTGCACGCACTGGAGAGGCAAGTTATAATAATGCTGGAAAGTTGCTGTTTCCTGCATCTAATAAAAAAGCGAGAATGATATCGATAGAAGCGACCTCATTCACGCACTTCCCTTCATTCAAAAAGAAATCTGTGTGCATGGTTAACACCACCACTCATCGATGCATGCTAATCGCTTCGGTTTGAAAATAGGAAGATGACCTTATTGTGCTGCGAAGTGTTTCGTAACGTAGCCACCGTGGCCTTGTCGTATCGATAACACTGAGGCGCGTTCGAACTCTGTAGCGATCAGATACAATGATTACAAAATAGTTGCCCAAGAACCCCATTCTCCTTCAGCATCCTTCAGCACAGCACAATCCAACGGCTACTGTTCAAAAATTTACCGGTATTGTGGAAAGTTAGAGATATTATTTATAGCTACACGAAGCATATTTCCCAGAAAATCACCACTAAAAATCTTCAAAAAGGAGTTGGAGCTTCTAAATCCATATTTTTTCAGGATAATGAACCAATTAGGACATTCGATGAAAATCCCATCTTTCAAAAAAGACTCATGCCCAAAGGAGAGATTCTCAATGTAACTGATAATAAGAATCGACTTCTATGGTTCATAGAATATGCAACTATATCTGTGGAGGCAAGTTTTCTTTTTGAACAATCAAGATTTTGATCCCTTTTTTCGATTTTGATTTACTGCAGGGCATAGCATGTGCACTTCAAAGCTCACAGGTATGCAAGTATCAGTTTTGGCAGTTCGAATATATGCTTCACAGAGTGATGGAACAGGTGAGTTATGTCTCAAAAATGAATTACTCTTTCACTCAGTTAGCGGATGATAGTCGGATTGAGGGATCTATCTCGTATTCAAAGTAGCTTTGAGCAGATGAAGTGCATTATCATAAGTAAACCAAAGCAGGGCTCGGCATGAGTGGTTTTTCATTTTCCAAGAGAAAGTACCCATAGACTTCGACACAAAAATACGACATCACCTATGACGCGATCATGAATGAAACACGAATAACAAACAATAATGGGACAAAACATAAAAACAACATTTAACAGACGAAGAACTAAAGAAGTTTGTATTCTCCGAATTGGCGGCATGCTGTGTCTGCGCGCACCATTGCGCGCTTGGAGCAGGCTTGCCGCCGTCATACAAAATATTTGAAGGGTTGTAACTAGGCGAGGAGGAAGGGATTTGGGGAGAATCAACAATTCGCTTTTGATTCAGAACAGAGTTATGTTAAACTTGTGAGAAAATTCCGCAAAGAAAGAGAGATTTATGACTTTTTCTTTTTGGAGCCACCTCAGGTGGCTGTTCAGATGGCTGACCTAACTCCGAAGAAAGTTTACCACGCCTTTAGTTCGTAATAACTTTTTCATGAATTTCCATTAGTCCTAATCCCTATTGCCCATCTACATACTAATTCTGATGTCATTTCATTTTCTCTTCTCTGCGAACAAGGCTTTTGTTTATTTCGCAGTTTTATGAATTCGCGCGCTTAGCCGGCGAACCTGGAAACAGAAATTTTCTGATTTTTGCAGGAATGGGATCGATAAGGCAATAAGGGAATGACAATCTGCGTCCTCTATAGAAGACGAAGGGTGACATAAGAGGGAGAAGTCATTGTGGGGAGGACGGGGGGGGGGTCGTAAACGATATTTCCCTTGCTTTTCACCCCTAAACGATCTCCATCTTGCCCCGTAAGCCTATGCCGAGTCCCGAGCCAAACCAATCGGCAAGGAATAGTGTAATATCAAAAACATACAACTGCTTTTTTGTCGATTTGTCAGATTGAAGGAAAAGTCGAAGAAATTGGCAATTAGTGTTGCTTGCATATCAAGAGTTTCTCATGTGCTATCGCCATGCCAGCGTTCACTTGAAGGCAAGCCGTTTTGGTCGATCGATGACGCTGAACGCCGCTGGCTCGGAAGTGGATACAGGGCTTATCAAGTGTGTGTCACAGTTGCAGTGTCGGGTCCACCGTAACTTCACTCCCGCGCGGGACTCTGCACCTCTTCCGCGAAATGTCTCTAATCATATCCAATCGATTAAAGCTTTGCCCTTCCCACCCTTCCCACGCTCGCGTTGGGAAAGTGTTCAGAGACCATGTTTGCGAAAGAGGTGCAGAGTCAAGGCGAAGCGGCCGCGCAGGAGCGGAGATGCTGGTGCTTCGGACACTGCAGTTGATAAGTCTGTAGGCAACTCTGAACGCAGCCTACGCTACACTGCCAAAGCCACCATCTCCCAAACAGCTAGCATTAACGAACACTTAGTTTCCGCAGCGATACATGATCAAAGTCGGCGCGAAAGGGTATCACAGCAATCAGATTTTGGGAAATGTTTACGCAGCTATTTAAAGCGCAAACATTTAACGCAAATTCTCTTACTCGTTTTCTAACACGAGAAAAAAGCCAATTTTTGCCTATAACGCGGTGTCATCCGCTGCATTTCGGATGAATATCTTTCCATCGAGCCCCAAATTACTTGATTGTTTCAAAATATGTGCCACTTCATCTGTTTTTGAGCTGTTTGTTTTGGCCTTAGTGACAGCCCCCATTCCATTGCAGCGCTGCAATTGGTGTCCCACGCGTTACACTGCTTCGTTTATGCTCAAATTCATAACTGATCGAGGCATCCGCATATAGGAATTATAACAACTGCAACCCTAGTCTCCAAACCTTGATTAGAAGATTTTGATATATAAACGCCAGCGAAATCGGTGCATGTACTCAACTGTATGGGAAAACAACAGTTATTTTCTAAGGCTGTGGGAGGTTGCCCGTGTGCTAGCGCCACGCCTTCGTAGAAATGCCACATATTGATCATGCAGCGCTGGCACGATTTAGCGCGGCGCTGGCACAGACAACTCTGGACGCAATCCAAGCTCCAATTTCCCCAATAGTTCGCTCGTGATCCCTTATTGCTTTTTCCTTAGCTTTTTGCCCTTAGCTGGTCCATAAAAAATAAAAACCTCATGTCACTCCGATTTATCAATATCCTACAAAAAAGTACAACACCTCAATCGATTCCATGAGCTCCTTTTTGTGCATCCTGCTCCATTTCGCTTTCCAGGAGAAAACCAGCGGACGACTCAGTTCCATCCGACATATCATTGACATGACGGGTTATGAGATAAATCCGTTCACAATGGTGTTCATAAGCAGTGGAACTCTAGCATACTATTCCCAGCTTTTTCATTATGAAAACTATCCAGAACTGGTATGTTGGCCCACATTTTGCCCAGATACACTACTGTCTCCTCCAGGTCACACCGATAGACATGGTGAACATTGCAAAATGGATACACGTTCCCTATAAACTTGCGAAAGCAATGATGCCTGCGGGATTCACAGATAGATTTCGATTGCATGATGGCAACTTTTTGAAAGACCTCACTGAGGATATAAGCCTAGAGCATATACCGACTACACTCGGCGGAAAGCAGGATGTAAGTTAGAATAAGCGAACCGATAGCCAGTAAAGAGACTTTCAGAGCATAGTATGCATCGGTGCAGGCAAGCCGGGCCAAATGGTACCACCCACTCTTCCTCAGGAAATTCACGGTCATTTGGAGTGCTTTCACATTCCGGCGAGAGGCCGGCGCCAAATCGTTGCTGAGGTTACTGAACCAACAACTCTGAGTTGGTACTTCCGAACTGATGGAGATGTATTTTTCGGCGTATTTTTTGAAGTCTGTTTCCCATGAAGTTTATTTTAAACATTCAGAGTAGCCTTCTATTTAGGCGCAGGGCACACCAGTGAACAGCCATCCCAATTTTGATACAATGGAAATGGTCTATCCCTGGTTGAAGCTGACCGCTAAACAAGTTCACGAGAGGGACTCTATAAGATGTGAGAGAAGTGGCAGGTATGTGTAACCTAGTAGATTTGACAGCTAATGTAATGGTATTGCGTTGTTGACAACATTTGGGCGTTAATAACGGCCATGTGCACGCACAGGTTATGGGAAAGTTGTCGGCATTAATAGTAAGGGCATTTGTTTTCGTCCACTTGTCGTCATCAACTGTCGAAACTCGAGTGTAATTGTTCCCTTCCTCAATGTTGTCCCGAACAAGACTTATGCAAAAGCTGAGAAATTAAAAAGCACTGCGTTTGCTGTTACAAACAGTATAAGCTCCTGCAAGACGAAGGCGGTCGTTTCGATGTGCAACGCGGCTGCGACATGGCTGCGTCACAGCAGCGTCACAGCCGCGTCACAGCCACGTCGCACCTCGACCAACCGCCTTCGTCTTGCAGGAGCTTATACCATGAGTTTGAAACGGTGACCAAAAATAGCGCACTTACGCGTACGCAGGATGACTTGATAAGAACGGAGACATGAGATTTTCTGATCGTTCTGGTTTCAGATATTATGTCGTACTTTGCAACATGCACTCGTGGCTCTCTCGTCGTAAAGTGGACATATGTACATACGTGACAGACAAGGACGGGACATCAAAACGACTACATTCCGATGGAATTTTGACGCTTGTTCCCACACAAGTCATACATCAAATGCGCCAATGACAATGTTGGTGCAAGATATAAAGAATTTGCCCAGCTGACTCACACACACTTCAGTTTGAATCTTCGTCACTGAGCAACAAGATAGTAACCTTGGAGGTTGCGCTTGTAATTACAACTTTTCCCGAGTACTCAGTATCATTAGATATCTCAATGAGTTATTCGAATCAATGAGGATGTGTATAGTCTAACTGGATCAACTTTCAACAGTTCAGCTGAATGAGATTTCCATCTCTGTTCGAAAATTCATTTTTGAAGCATCGTCCAGACGGCGCTGGAATCCGTCCGAATCGCCTAAATCGCAACGCGCCGGAACTTGCCAAATCAGTCAAATGTAACTCGATGATACATATTTTCACTTGCACAACGCACGCGGCATTCCAAACGTGCTTCGATATGTCAGTTTCCAAGCATGTCTCAGTTCTTTCTCTCATTTGGCAGGTTCCGGCGCGGTCGAACGATACCTAAGCTTTAGCTGCTACTTCACCATATCCCAGTTTCATGGAAATGTCAAAAGATAGAGAAACATAAACAGAATTTGGCCCAGAGCTACATTGATACAACATGATCAATCTGGTCATAACTCGTAGTTTTTTTGTATTCCAATCCCATCGATACTCTCAAATTTTTCATTAACCTCTTGCTTGCTAATCGTTGAATGCGAAGCTTATGCTGTAAATACCGGAGCTTTTTATGTGAAAATCTTCAGCCACCCCCGCCCATTGCATAGATGCGCCTTGTACCTCATCTACAGCATTTACATCTAAATACTTAACTGTAAGGTAGCTTCACTTTCGTAATTAACACATTGAGGTTTTGAAGATAGGGATTAGCATTTCATAATACTCTCAACAAAGCTGCTCAAATGCAAACGACATCCCCTACAAGGGGGAAGGGAACGAAGGCCGGCAGTTTGAGCCGCCTTGCGCGGCCTGGCACTTTTGAAATGTTGTGGCATGTCGTTACAGGACCAGTCCGCAAAGGCGGCCAAACTGGCGGCGTTCGTCGTTCCACGCATGTTCGTTCGCGTGCTAGCATAGGGTTGTTTCAGACTGTCGCACTGACCGCAGCAGACTGCAGCAGACTGCATGACCGCACTGACCGCACTGACCGCAAGGGCCGCAAAATCGATGTGTCCTTTCGTAAAGGTGGAGAGGATAGATACTTGTAGCCCAAATAATGAACAACGATATATGCCTAAACATAAAAGACAACACGAGCGAGAGTAAAACAACATACGCATTAACAGGAAGAATCAGAACAAATATGAGCATACCAAAGAGGAACATTCGCCAAAATTTGATTGAGAAGAGTAAGTTGAAGCCTATGAACTTCCTAGGCGCAAATGACGGTGTTTTGACTTGGTTGCAATTGTTTTCTTTTTTACGAAACGAGCAGCGATCTGTGCGGCCGTTGCGGTCAATGCAGTCAGCTGCAGTCTGCTGCAGTCAGTGCGGCAGTATGAAACAACCCATAACTAACAAAACATACAACAATCGTTGCTTTCTATTCTCTCTCCTTTCTTTCCACTCCTTGCGCATTATTTTCTAAACTAAATGATTTAATCACACTCATTCATGCTGAATGCCAAGAGCTTCAAAAAGTGCGAAACTCTTCACTGACCAGGCTGACATTAGTTATTGTTCTGCAAAACAATGTGAACTGTACCTCGCTCCGACAAAATTTTGGAATTATATAATAGTTTGGTTATTAAGTATAGACTTATTTGTGATAGCTGAATCTTTTGTGGCAATGTTTTTTTTTTTCGAGGCTGTTTTTCGGCGTGTCCTACTATTGGGTCCTGTCCTTTCATCCTAACTGCTTTGATCTAACAAAAATTTTCACAATCAGATAATTGCTTCTGTTACTGATGAACATAATGCAGATAGGTTTGGTTCAAAAGCTTTGTTTTTTCTCCAAAGTGACGCTATAATTATGACATGATAAACTGAAATATGACCCTTGTGAAGTATTTTCCAACGATGTGGATTTTTTGAAAAAAACTTCTTTGTGGCACATCAAAATGTTCAAAAAAGGGAAGAGGTGTGTGTGTAGTGATTTCTCAGTATCACTGACCTGCCATGTTGTCCAGCCAAACGAATCAAAAACTTTTGAGAGCTAATGCCCTATTTACTTTTACATCACACTTCTCAAAGAACTTTATCTTCTTGGTGGAAATTTCGACGGCAGCAAGAAAGGGAGTTTGCACATCCAGTCACAACCAATCAAGCAAGTTTTTGATTTGCGCACAAAAAAGCCGATTTCTGAGGGCACCGGATTTCATAGATTTTGGTGAGGGAGAGGGGGGTTTTTCAGTGGAAAGAACTCCCAATTAGGGCCATTCATAAAAGCTCTCTCAGAAGTTCCGTCTTCACCAAAAACCATGAGCATTGTGTAGCAAAGCGCGACAATCGCGGCAGTGGTGTATGACTATAGGAACGCTGCGATCATTGGCTATCACGATATACTTAGTTAATTGAAGACAAAACATTGGTATTGCGCAGTCGCACTTGGGCATTAAGTAATTTGTGATAGTCTGGCAGAACCGCGACACTTCAGTCTTGTCCCGATAATGGCCAGTGCCCCCTTCGGCCAAAGTACGAAGTGAGAAATTGGTCCGAATTATTAGCAAGGCTGGTATTCGGGGTATACCTATACGCACCATGCCTTACTTTGTTGTGAATGACTAGAGGCAGCTGATACGCAGACTCAGATTCGATAGCTAATCATTATCATCTTTCAAAATGATAGCTCACTGAAAATCAAATTTTTCGTCGTTACCATACATCTGAATGAAAAGCCCCTACTGAGTTGCCAACATACCTGGGTAAGGCTTGGAACATTCATCACAAGTCCAAAAACGCGACGACCAGAAGGCATAATAAGTGATCGGTGCACAAAATTTAGCCGACGTGCTGTTATCAGAATAGGAAAATCGCAAGAAGACATTATACGAAGAAGCACTGAAAAAATAAACAAAGACAATTTTTTGAATCCTTTACATATTCTCGTTAGGAGAATTCTAATCTCACTGTATCATGTATGAGACCTGAGCCGTCGCAAATTACCCAGCGCTACAACGAAGAAAGTTGCAAACAGAATTTTTTTTTATTCTGCACTTCACTTCTTATAACTAAGCTTGAGAATTTTCTGACTAGCTATCTGTGTAATGAGACCATTTTCTCGAAGGGATTATGGTTTGTCAGAGTGGGTGTTTTCGAAGAAAAATATTTCTTGCTTCACTGACTTACTTGCTTGGTGCTACCATCATACGCGCTAGATTGATAGAGATTCTGATAAGGTTGTATTTCATCTATATCTGGCTGATCAGAGCTTCAAGCTAAAACTTTGCAAAACTTGCACTAACCTACTTGGTACCCAGTAGTGAGTTTCTATAAGTGAGTGAAAAATAACACTATAGGTTAATGGGAAGCTACCAAGACACCAGCTACCCTATGACAGTTTCTCCAAAAGTGTAAGTGGTAATAACCACCCATGAACTCCTCATCCAGAACAAACTGACTTTGAAATAACTTTTCCACGTTGATCTGCCTGTGTTCTTCCTCATTAACGGACTCCAAGAGATCGATGTTGTCAAAAACAAGCAAACTAGGCTTTCGAACTGAAAGTTCGTTTACTTTAGCGGCTATGCTTTTCTCGATATTGTCCAGATTTTTTCCTTAAAAAATGAGTTTTGCTACAAAGTGGCTAACAATGTGAAATTTATCTTTACAAACCTTTCCACCAGCTGCATTCTATACACGCACAAAAACAAGTGCAAGAGGATGTGGCAAGTTTTCGTGAAAGCATTGCTGCCACTGACGTTCTGCCGCTCCCTTCAGGTCCGAGCAGAAGGACATGTCCGAACTTTTTGTGACGCATAGAGTACTGCACCCACGCACAAAGACCTTGCATGAGATTATCGTAGCACCTGAAGCCAAACTTGTAGGTGACTTTATTTTGCTAGAAATCAATAAGTTCACACTTGATATCACTCGCACGAACGCGTGTCGTGAGTCCATAATTATCCGGTTCGAGGGGATCAGGGCCTGGAGACTTCACCATAGAGGTATCCATCCAAAAAGAGTTTTATTGGCCAGCAAAATCAGAACACCAACAAACAGAAAGGGACCTTCAATTTGAATTTGGTACTAGAGTCAGCAACGAAACAACGCTGTCCTCGACGGCGTCTGGTAACGGCTGGCAGGATGCGGACCGTCAAGCGCCGACCTTAATCGTAGGTTAGAAAAACGAATAATTCTGTATCGCACTTGTTCTGCTCATGAGTTCTGAAATGGCAAGATTAGTTGACGAATGTGATTCATGATTTCAGCAGATATTGTCTGTCTTGAAGAGGATCTCTCCCAAATTTGGCACGCTGCGCGTCCGGCATCGATGGTTTTGCGTCACGTTCATGGTTGATATATAGTCCTGCCAAGACTTATCTGTTTCTTACTCATTCCCTTTTTTCAATGGCAGTGCTTCGCGCAAGCACATGAAGCACAAACCCCACAGCGACGGTGCGCTACTTCATGCCAATATCTCAGATTGATCACGATTGGATCATATTGTAACTAATTTTTTGATGTATCAAAACGAAATTTTGTAAGAATGGTGAGTGAAAATGGCACTACCCAATACCGTAACGTTAGTCGAGTTCCCATCGTACGGTAACAGAAGTGGATATGTAGAAACTATGGCACTCAAGCACTTGCTGAGTTCATGTTCTCTATCTTCTTCCAGTAGCCATTCCAAATCCTAAAATAGATGTCTACCAGTAGCGGGATAAGAGGTTTTATGGAAAACCCACAAATATTTGCATATGTACTTTTTGCCTCTCAATACTCTGTCTTTAGTTCAAATTCTCATAACGTAAAAACTTAACAAAAAAAGGGATTGGACACGTTTTTGTAAGCTATGTCACTCTCTCAATCACTCACCTCTTTGGAAGGAAGTACATCGACATGTTCTAATTTTCCTAAATCATGCCCCTTCAATGAAAATAATGATATCGTCGAATACGCTGGATACTTCTTATGGCAAACAATGCAGTGGTTGGCTTTTGTCTGAAGTGAAAGCTTGGACGCAATGAACTTACAAGGGAGGGATACCAACATTAGTCGGAGAGTGAAGATGAGATGTATATCATCAGACGCGCTTTTGAACGCTGATTCCAAATCTGCCTTCCTTTTTCAACTTTTCGAAAGAAGTTATGAGCGTTTAAATGTCCAAATATGTCAAGGTTCAGGTGGTCCGAAATTGGCGAAAAGCTGTACAAAAACACCCGAAAGTGGAAAATCAGTTTTGTGTCGAGTATATTGTTCACAAGGAAGGAACAAAGCCGCTGGAAATCGCATAGGTATTGTTTTAGATCTTTTCGTTGATTTTAAGCCACTTAATGCTTGACAAATTTGAACATTCAAACGCTCATAACTTCTTTCAGAAACTTAGTCCGCAAAAAAGGATAGCAGATTTGGAATCAGCGTTCAAAGGCGCGTTTAAAGATATACATCCCATCTTCAATCGCCGACTAATTTTGGTATTTCCCTTGTTAGTTCGACATATACCTTTACCTTGAACAAACGTCGAAGCGATTTATAAGTGACATCAATGTAGCTACTAGTTGTTGGCAGAGAAACAACAATGGCAAATTCTATGAGCGACGGATTCACTTGTCTTTTGACGGATGCGATGCAATATTCGACGTAGTTTGATGAGGCTGTATGAGAAGGTCATTCAGTAAACCTAGTAGTAATAATGCCAACTCACAATTGCAGGAGACGTAGATTACATTGGGATGAGACAGCGGAAGTCGAACTTCGGACGTTTCTACCAGAGAAAGCGGTAAAACACGAAACTTTTCGCCCGAATACGATGTAGTGGAAACATAGACGCAGTTTGAAAGCGGACTGATGATGTTTGAAATCACATCATCCAACTGAAATCTGTAAATTTCCACAATAAACTATCAATCCTTCCATTACGCGTTCTTCCTAGCAGATGTTTGAGCAGAGTAAAACACCTATACTATGTACACCATACCATACACCATATGACTTACATTTACAATACTTCTGCTGCCTTGTGAATAATCATCTTCCGGAAGTGATATTTCAGATAGCGGGAGTACTTGTAATTCTGTAGACGCCACCAAAAGCACTGCTTGATTAGTGTCGGGAGTGACCTCCACTGTAAACTTGCGCTTACACAAGAAACTTCAATTCACAAAGTGTCCCGGAAGCAGAGCTGATTAAGTTCTCCCTCCAAAAAACGCATAAAAATGTCTTAGTTCCCAATTCATCATTCGACATCAAATGTCAAGCGCCCAGACAACATTAGATTTATTCGAAAAAGCTCATCGAAAAAGGTATTCGGAGGTATCATTAGAGTTTTTTGAAAAAAAAAAAGACAAAACGGTATAGGCAGCAGCCCAAAAACACCGAAGTTCTGTCTATTCTTGTTTAACTTTTTTCAACGTTTATTTATCTATTTTACACTAAAGTTCACGAAAAAACCATGAGCGTTTTAGCTGTGTCGTGCGCAAGCCAAAAAAAGATCTCTGACATCGAAGCCTCATTTTCTGCTGCGATTCAAAGAATTTTAAGAATAGCCAGCTAAATCATCGAGCTAGGGTTCGGCTACTGTCCGTAGCCGAGCTCTAGCTCGATGATTGCACTACCCAGTTTGAGTGTATGCTACCTCCAAACAATGAGAAATTGTAAAGTGGAGGGGTACAACCGATGAATGCAAGTAAGCAGTGATTACAAATAGCATATATCAACTTTGCCACTGATATTGGCACTATTTTTGTTCCGTTACTCTAGATATGGCTTATTGCTAGCAGTCAAGTAATGTGAACCCATCTGTCTGTTCATATAGAGGGAGCCACCAACGGCGGATTGAGCGAAAGCTAAGGGGGGAGGGGGAGAGAGAAATGTTAGCTTCCTCCCCTGCAATAGGTCTTAAAATTTTAGTTACTAGCTGGCTTACCCGGCTCCGCCGTATGTTCCGAATAGAAAATTCCATTTCTTAACCGATCCGGACCAAACTTGGCACACATACACTTCGGGCCCCGGCGGGTGTCATAGGCTACTTTTCGTCATCGATCGATGTCGATTTTATCGATTTTTTGCAAAATTTGAGCTAGGAAGCTGGAATTTGGCAGAGGGGTGTAATCGAGCATGCTGATCACCCCCACGGGTGTGATCAGCATGCTCGATTACCCCCCCCCCCGGCCAACTCCCAGCCCCGTAGCTCAAATTTTGCAAAAAATCGATAAAAGCGACATCGATCGATGACGAAAAGTAGCCTATGACACCCGCCGGGGCCCGAAGTGTATGTGTGCCAAGTTTGGTCCGGATCGGTTCAGAAACGGAATTTTCTATTCGGAACACACGTACAGACATACAGACAGACAGACAGACATACAGACAGACAGACAGACAGACAAACAGACATTCAGCTTTATATATAAAATAAAAAGGGCTCGGCACGAGGTGGCTTCAGAAATTGCAGAAAACGAAGTTCCCTTTGACTCAATTATGAAAAAACGATATCCGCCAAGAGGTATTAGAAGAGAAAACATCAAAGGGAAGGGAGGAAAGCAAAAGGAAAAAAACGCCAAGGAAAAGCATCAAACAAACGCGACGATATTCGCATTCTCCGGATTGGCGGCATAATGTATCCAGCGCGCAGCACTACCAGGGCCCGGCACGAGTCGGTTTCTAGGGTTTCTGAAAACGAAGTCTCCCCTAACTTTCGGAAGTTTTACGAAGTCCCCTTTGATCTACCTGCTTAGGAGAAGATGAAAATAAGAAACATTTGATAGTCTGAAAGAAAAGACGGAAAGATCCGAAACTTATGTGAAGTGACGAAGATATATGCTCCAGACGATCTCAGATCGTCTGGTGGCCGTCTGGAGACGATCTAATATTGAAAAAAATATTTCTTCACATAAGTTTTTATACTTTTTTACATAATTCTTTTGCAAATAATTTTCTATACATACAGTTCAATTTTGGTGTCATATGCTTCTGCGTGTGCTGTAAACAAGCAATTTGTTTACTTAAGCCTTACTTTCAAATCGCGCGCACTTTTCGCCATGCACGATAGAGCATGTCAATCGTGTGATAACCTGTCCGAATAGCTTGTGTTCGACTAAATGGCGCTTATTCTTGGTGCTCGGTTCCTAGTCGTCAAAAACGATCCCCCTTTGTTGTTTGCTTCAAAAACGAAGTCCAGCCTGCTTCCAGACGATCTGTGCCGGGCCCTGAGCACTACCCGGCACCATGCAGCACTACGCGCCTGGAGCAGCGTTGCCGCCCGCCATTCAAAATTTTCAAGGGGCTGTAATTACGCGGGGAGTAGGGGGTTTGAGACGCTTTAGAAACCAGTCTGTAGGGTATGAAATGTAAGTGAAACTTTGTAAAGAAAGTAAGCAAAACTATGTGAGGGAGAGAAAACCTACTACTTTTTCTTTCCCAAGCCACCTCAGGTGGCTTCCAGGTTGCTTGAAAGCCACCTAACTCCGAAAAAAAGTTGAGCACGTCTGCAGTTCACATAATTTTTTCATGATTTTTCATACATAATCCTAGCTCCTCAGTGCCACCACCAATTTTGGTGCCATTTCATCTTCACTTCGCTGTGAACAAGCCCTTTGTTTGTTTCGAAGAGCATGCCGCCGGGATGCCGGACGGACCGACATCGAAGGACAGCGGTATGCCATTCCGCAAAAACGATATTCCCTTTGCTTTTTCTTCCAAAAACGGTATACACCTTGCTTGGTAAGTCACCTGTGCCGTGCTCTGGTTATAATGTGCAGAAGTGGCATAATGTAAGTAACAAAATGGGAGTGAAAGGGGATTTGTTTGATAGATCAAAGCAAGCTCTACAAGATGGAGCTGAAAAAGTTGCAACAAGGTATAACTCATCTGAAATTTGAACATAAATTTCAAAAAAAAAAACAAATCCCTGCAAAATCGAAAAAATGTATCTTCTCTCAAAAATTTCCTATAGATCCCAAAACTACTCACAAAAGGGCCATGTTAAGCCGAAGTGGCGTTTTTAGATGGGATTTATACCTCATTGGATAGCATGTAACGCCAATTCCAAATCCGCATTCCTTATCTGCGTATTTATGAGCGAAGAGCTATGAGCTTTCACTAGAGCAAAAAATTACATGTGCAAATGGGACGAAAATTGTCGTAGTATTTTCTAGCGCTTCAGTGTAGCAGTGATGATTACCAGAGCACTTTATCCAATAAGAACTCTCAGATAAAAAATATATCACATTTGTTTGCATTTGAAGGGCTGGGGAAATTTTAGCACCTCATTTTATCCCAGATGCAGTTTTCTTTTTTGCTCCAATAAACGCTCATGACTCCTCGTCCACCAATCTTCCGTTGATAGGGAAGGCAGACTTGGAATCAGCGTTTTATGCTCTCCAATGTGGTACACCTCCCATTTGAGAAGGCCACTTCGAATAAACATGGTTCCCTTCTCAGGCATAACCTCTCTATATCACACACTCGTATGCAGAGTTTCGCGATTTTATTCATGGCTAGAAATCGAGAAGCGAAACCTGCCATGGGTTTGCCATATCAGCTCTATGCTTTCTCAAAATAAGTGTATAGTATAAACCTATAGTATAAACCCTCGGGAGTATAACCATGAACTTTCAGGTTTTGCAAGGACTAGCTTTCGTGAAATATTATTCACCACAAAAAACCCGAAAAACGCGATGTATTCGCACTTTTGATCCGCTTTTGTCTTCAGCATTCTGACCATGGGAAAATTACCACGGAAGATTTCCACAAAGTGAATATCTAATGTGGAGAGCACATAATTGTGCGAATTGGAGATCTCAAGAATTTTATAGACGGAGACAATTTGTTAATCAAACTTTCTCATATTCTGGCTTCTAACCTTCAGGTGGAACAAAAGTTTTCGCGGTAGTTTGTATTCCTTCTCGTAGAGATGCTTTGCTCCCAGGGGCGCACCGAGAAGGTGGGTCGCAAAATTTTTGAAAGTTACTTACATTTGTTATAAAAATCGCAACTGGTTTGCTTATACGTCTAAATAATTAAGACAGTATCTAAAAATTTTTGAAAATTCAAACTAGCTTTGTAAAATAATTTTTTCGCGGAAACGGCTGAGCCACGCCCCCTTTTTGGGGCCATGAGCCAGCAAAAATTTTCGGAGTGCGTGGCTGACGCCACGCACCTTAATTCGAAATAAAAATTCCCCCCCCCCCCCCTCCCCTTCTCGAACAGACATCTTGGGTACGCCACTGCTAAGAAACGCTTAGGCTGCGTTCAGACTGATTTCGAAATCCGGGAACAGTTTCAGCACAGCGCTCATTTCAAGCGCTGTGCTGGGACTGTTCCCGGATTTCGAAATCAGTCTGAACGCAGCCTTACAGGCCGTGTCCGGGCAAAAACTTGACTTCAAGAAAATCCACTTATCGGGGGTTATCCGCAACGCTGAATCCGAAAATCACATTAGAAAGCGCGAGCACGACGAAAACATGCATTTTCCAAAGCCTTACAATTTGAAATTCGACGGTCCCCGCCAAGGCTGAGACGCAGTGTCGTTGCGAGACCTTACGATTTTGACTGTGGCAGCATGCGTACTCTGCCGCATAGCGGAAATTCGAACAAGTCGGGGGACCCCGCCCCAAGGCGTACTTCTTCCCACTTTCCGGTCGTTTTTCTTGCTTTAGCGAGCGCTATGACCTCGCACTCGCGCGATGTTGTGTCTGAGGAGGGTCACTTTCGCATAGCACTAAAGTCCCAAAACCCCCATCTTGCCCGGACACTGCCTTTAAATACTATGCATCTGAACGTACCGACACGAAATGAAGAGCACACATTATTTGAGATCCAAAGTGGAAGTCGCATTCCCGAATATAGCACCCGTATCTGTTGGAGAAAAATTTCCTCAACTCGTCTGCTAGACTTATCCTAAAAGTGCCTTGCCAGAAAATAAATTTAACAAAATTAATCAAATGATGCTGCTCACAAAAATTTCGTAGTCGTGCTGCGATAACGGAACGATGGATATAGATTTGCATGTTACAGGAGTTACCGGTTCGATAATAACCTAAGAAGAGCAGATAGGTCAAGTGTTGCAGAGCTCCTGCAAGTGACTCACCTCTTGTTTGAGGCGGAAACCCATAAGCTCCGCAAATGTTTTACTAACATAGATATGAGTAAATGGGAACGATCCAAATACCTGCACGTAGAGCTCGAATCGGTTATTATCGCACGAGCGAACGCGGAAGTATCCAAGTGTTTTACTCGATAAGCTCTGAACAGCACTGTTAGTAGTTATAGGCACACCTTCGATGGCCTAGTGACAGGGCAAAAGTGAAGTTTGTTCATAGAAACTCAAAGAAGAAAAAAGATGCGAAACAGATAGCAAAAACAAAAGAGACGCTTAGAAACTGGATAAAAAAGCTGCAATAAGTTTGAAATCTTCCGTTTGGCGGCATCTCGAAGTGCACTTCGCTACAGGACCAGGCAATCTAGGACACGAGGGAAAACGAGCAAAAGCTAATTTCTTCTTTGTGATTGTTTCAGAGAAAAACCATGTTTTGGAAGTGGTAATTGTCAAGAAGGAGATCAACGAAAATTATGTAATTATGAAAACGCAAAGTTTCTTTCTAAGTCGAAATGTACGTCAAAACCAGATCTAGTCCTCGCATCCTTTGAATTTTTACCCCCACATTGAAGTTCCTGTTTTCTGGAACGTTGTCGGGATTGTTGCGCTCATTATTCTAAGCAATGATCGCCAAAGTTTGGAAAAAGTCGCTGCGAAAACAGTGAAAACGAACAAGGTGAAGAAAAACGCTTTTTTCATGATTTTTTCACAAAAAAGTTTGCCATAATCAAAGAAGTGGACTTCGCGACGTATCTACATTGTACAGAAACAAGATCTATTGAATGCACGAGAAAACTGCATGAAAAGAGCTAAACTGAAAAAAAAAAACAAGACAAAAAAATGGTTCTTGTCAGATTTCTCCGTAAAATCAAAAAATATGGTTTTAAGACGTTGTCAGCGTGAAAGTAGAGATAAAGAGCCTCAATATACAGGGTGTTCCCAAAAAATGTGAACTTGATCGTTAATAACTCCTTGCATTCATGTCTTTCGCCGAGCTTGAGACACCATTCTGTAAAACGAGGTTCAACTTAGATATATAGCATGAGGCGAATCGTCGAGCGAATCGTCGCAAAGTCGATCGCTCTTCAGTACTGTAGGAATTACGGTAGGAACTTCGGCAAGGATTTTAGGCCGTTGGAGGCCATATTCTGCCTCGGAACAAAACCAAACACGCCAAAAGCTCTCTACTATGGTAATGGAAGCCGCTGATTTCGAATATGAAATTTCTACTTTACTATGGTGCTTCTTTTCAAAGTTATCATTCTATAATAAAGAATGGCAAGGGTTTGCACTTACATGTTGACAAGTTGCGAAATGAGGCGAGTGATTGCCGTGGGTGCGGAGGGTCCAGATTTGTCAACAAGGCTAGCGTGTTTTCGTAATGGTAAGCATCGTCCCTCCTCGAGGACTGTTTTCGACAGGGGTGCAGCCACCAAGTGCAAAAAGGTTGTGGTTGCGGAGATGCCCACTCTCGTAAGGTTGCTAACAGTTCCCCCCTCCCCCCCTCTTTCGCAAGTTTGAACTCTGCGGGTATGACTGATTTCGCTTGTTGTTAGTTTTTCCGCATCGGTACCAGCCAGTTTGGTTTTCGACAGGCTGTAGTAGCCCTTACACGTTCATGTAAATGCTCCAAGAATTCGTTCACTTCTTCGTGTTCCTGCTGTAGTATTGAAGGCTGCCCCTTACGTTCAACAAAAGTCGATAGATCGGAGGACGGTTCTTCCGTTCTTCCTCTATCGGCAATATTGGTCCTCTATTTCTTCTCAGAAATTCATTCTGTTCGCTGTCATAGCTGTCATAGAGCAGACCTTTCAATTTGTTAGCGGCATCTAGGGCAGTACGATTTGTTGGGGTTCGCTGGACAGTTTCTATTTGGATCATCGTGTAAGCTCGCACATGGCAGTTCTTTCGCATAATTATAGCCTGCGGGAGTTTATAGGACATTTCTTCCTTTGAATAATCGGTCTGCAAGAGGTCCATAGGACACTTCCTCTTCAAAATTACCGCTCTGTATGCGGTCCGTAGCAGTACTCGCTGAAGACAGATTTGTAAGCTTCTTACTTCTATCTTTTATCAGTATCGGTCTGCAGGGGGCTTGTAAAGCAATAAGTTCGCTATTTGTCTGAGAGCAGCCCATAGGACATCTCCTTCATCTAATCATCGGTCTGTAGGCGGTGAGTAGGGCATTTCTCCTCAAAATATTACTTTGTATAGGCGTGAAATATCGTTCTGTAAGTAGCTCATAGCTTCTTCTCTCATACTCTTGGTCCATAGGGGATATGAAGATAGGGTAAGGTGGTTGTTTTTTGAAATATCGGCCTCACAGCGGTTCTTAGAGCATTTCACAAAAATATTAGTATGAAGGTGTCTTCAGTTTGTGCAGCTCAAAGGGCAGTTGTTTTTCAAAGTGACGTTCGTAAGCGGCCCATAGAGCATTTTTCTTTGAAATTGATTTGTGAGAAGTTAGGGCAATTATCTGAAAAGTATCTTTTTTTCTCTGGAAACGGTTTTAAACAGCTTGCAGGATGTTAGCGGCACATACGGCGGTTCCATTTAATAATTGCTTATTAGTCTGCAGGCGACCCGTAGGGCAGTTTTTCCTTGAAATATTTTACGCAACCATACGACTACCTTGAGATATCCGTTTTTGGAAGGCCCGTATGTCATTATCCCAAGATTTTGTTTATAGGGGTCATTCTTTCCTAGAATACCACTCTGCAGGTGGCCGTAGGAAAGTCTCAAAATATTGCTCTATAGGGGGTTTGCAGGGTAGTTTTCAGAGTGTCAGTGGGCGACCCACACTGTTTATAAATTTTTCTGATATAAATCGGTCTGATATATATCGGTAGACGACTCGTAAGGCGGTTTTTCTCTTGAAAAATCGATTTGTAGGGGAATGTTAGGGCAAATTTTTTGTAAATCCTTCTAGGCGGATCGTGGAGTTTCTTTCCCATGAAAACTTATCTGTAGGCGGCATAGGCACATAGAGCATAAGAAAACATTGTTTGTTTTTGTTGCCAAATTTTTCCGGGATTAGGGCATCTCAAGTGTAGAGTTTTTGTAGAATACATCTTGGTTTTGAATTTCGACTGCTTTTGAGGTGACACTCAATGGAGATTGTTGAAAAAATCAGAAGCCCTCAATCGGTTTCATATTGCCAGAGATCGCAAAATCTGTGACAGGACAACGCAAGAGAAATTTTGTTATGGTTTCTGGGAAGGTGTATTTTGTTTTGATGGTGATTTTCATTGTAACTTGACAAATTCCAACTTGGAGAGTTTTTTGAGAGTTTTCTTTGTAAGAGGCGTGGAAAGGACGAGTCTTTTTTTATGAATCTCTATGAAGGCGGATTTGGATGAGAGGGCGTGTATTCGGGAAAAGGTCGATTTTTCTTCAAATTGTGTAAGACTTGTTAGGATTCTCAAAGGTTGAATGAACGTAAAGTTCTTTGTTTTTGAAGACTCGCCCATAAAAATGGATTTTCATGGGTAGTTCTCAAAAAAGTATAAATTGTAGAGATATTTGCAGTCATAACTAGACGGCTAATAATATATTTGCCCCAACCCACTTGTCAGCGACCCATAGGGTCGCTAGTCCCAGGTAAATCGTAATAAGTGAATACCCAGCATTTGTCAGAAATGTGACTACGCCGTCAAAAATGCTGAAAGCGCTCATAAAACGTTGTGTAGTGGAATCAGCGTGTGCGAAAACCCCATTGCACGATTTCTCTCATTTTTTGCAAAACAAATTTGTCAGATCGCATATTTCACAATAGTTCCACACGCTTAAAGTTCCTACCGTAATCCTACAGCAACGAAAAGCGATCGGTGATTCACTTTATACTGTATATCTAAGCTAACCTAGCTCTACAGAATGGTGCCTCAAGCTCGGCGAAAGACATGAAAGCAAGAGAGTTATTAACGATCAAACAGTGCTCACATTTTTTTGGGACGCCTTGTATATTAGGTCGTTACATAAGTTTTGTTACACTCAACTGAAAAAATCCTCATAACTTTGTCAAATGATTTTTTCTTATCTCCGAACTCTGTGTAATGTTGCAGATTCTTGATATATACATGTCACACACGAAAAAAATCAAATTTTCGAATTTTTTGAAATTTTTCGAATTACTTCTGGCAAATTTCCGATCTTGGATATTGAAGAGCTTGAACTTCCATCAATCGTTACTAGCAATGTTCCTGGAAGTTCAGAAAAAACCTAAAAAGTTGGAAAAGAATAATAAGAGGTTTTTAAAAAATTAAAGAAATAAATGAAGGTTGGAGTGCCTCTTTAGAGTTGCCTTTATATTTACTGTAAGTCATGTGGTGAAGGCATAAGTGGTGCCAACGGATAGCCCTTAATACCTTCTCCATATATGCCAAATATGAGATCTTGCCGAATTTTCTAGTTTTCCAAAGGAAGACGAAGAGAGTGTAACAAAACTTATGTAACAACCTAATACATGTACTTTGCTACAATTGTGTCTAGAAAAACGAAGAAAACAATACCAAAGCCAAATGCCCCTTGCCCCGCGTTTGGGGTAGCGAGGTAGCGCTCAACGCGCGGAGCAGACGAGCACAAGGAAAAGTCCAGAGCCGACGGGACTTTTGGCTCTGGTCGTATATCTCCGCGGGGCCCCAACAAAACCCTGCAACATCATATATCGTTTTGATCGCCATGACACGACTAGGAAGACTGACAACGTCCCAAGCGTTGAGAGCGACTCATTGACGAGATAAACTAGCATTTTCGTGCGTGACTCTCGGCGCGAGGTTAAGCGCTGTTACTCGTTTTTATTGAACTCAAACAGCTTTTTTCAAACTTCTGAAACTCAATTGTATTTAAAAAAAAGGTTAAGTGAATAACGTAGTCCTGAATTCTGGGAAACTTTTCACAAAAATCTTCTTTGTAAGCTAAAAAGGCTATAAAACGCAATATTTCGATTTTAATTAGTTATTTTTGAGATATCACCCACTATACTTGTTTCATTCACATTCATTCCGGGATATTGAAGTTACCATTTTAACATCCGGGACTTCGCCCCGGATCACTTCTATTTTTTGTTTAGGTAAAGGTTGTGTTCATTTATGTCGCTCAAAAGAAAGTTACCAGATCAAATGGCTCTATGTATCGAGGGTATGAACGTA